TGTAAATTATCATAAATGACTCACCGAGGACAAAGATTAAATCTATAATTTCAATCTGATTGAAATGTGTAGATTTTGTCTGTAAAAAGGTTTACACGTCTTCGTTAAACTTATAAAAACGCATGGTCCGTGTATAGAGGACGTTATAAGGACGTGATTGTGTAACACCTAACGTAAACTACTGCACAGCAGAAAGTAGCCCTTGTATGGCAGCCCATAGGAAGTCTTTAGCTTCCTTGCTTTGTATTTAAAAACTCTTATACCTAATATTTTAACCTAAATCTATACTAATCGTATAAAGTGGAAAGATTAGTATTTTTGTATATATTGAAATAGCTCAAAAATTATTAGACCGATTTCAAAAATTACTTCACAGTTGGAAAGGTAATTTATCTGAAAGTAACATAGGCTATATTCTTTATTATATTTTAACTTGCTACTGCTCGCGACTTCGTCCGCGGAATATTATAAAAACATAGCCTATGTTACTTTCAGATAAAAAACCTTTCTTACTGTGAAAGTATTTTGAAGATCAACACAGTAGATTTTGAGTTATTTCAATGCATATAAAAATACAAATCTATCCTCTTTATAATATTAGTATAGATATCATGTGGACGAAGTCGCTAGCAACAGCTAGTGTTCAATAAAGGTATACAACTATGAATAAATGCAATTGACTTAAAATAATTAATAATAATCTTAACACTACGTTGGAACTAACAACAGTAATAATATCTGAAGCAGTCCGTGTTTCCCACGCCCACTTGTATTATGCCAATTAGAGTCAAGGGTCTTAATATGAATCAATGTATATTTCTAGTTTAATTTCGACTGGACTAAAGGGCTTGGCGCAAAGGCCCATTATGACCGGTATCCGCCCTTCTAGATTCAAGGCTTTTTGCTATTTGTATTGTTTTATTATTTTGATGTAGTCTCAAATTTTATTAAAAAAAAGAACACCTACTTCCTTAATAAGACCACGCCGCATAATTTCTTATGACTATAAATTTTAGTTTAATTGTATAAATGGAAGAAAATCACTTATAGAGATACTAGCTTTCGCCCGCGACTCCGTCCGCGTGGAATTAAAAAAAAAACAAAACCAAGTAGCCTATGTGTTTTTCCAGGCTATCCTCTACATCCTTAATAAATTTCATCGAAATCGGTTCAGCCGTTTAGGCTACAAACTCTAACAAACATCCATCCTTCCATCCATCCATCCATCCATCTAAACTTTCGCATTTATAATATTAGTATGATTAGTATGATATGGAAAAGTACATATTGTTGGTCTTAGAGAATATGGCAGGGTTTGATAAAATGTTAGTAAAAAATTGATTGATTTTTAATTTACTAAAGGCTTCAGAAGTTTTAAACTTTTTACCCAATATTTTTTTCTTTTAATACGCAATAACGTACGACTCAGTTCCGCATAAACGTGTTAGTAACGTGTAACAATAAATCACAACTGGAAATTGCAATTAACATTCAGTTAGTACCGGATTGAATACTCGTTACTCGTGCGCCATTTTATTAATTCTATGTACAATAAATGACAAGGTTAAACAAAATAACACATAACCATAGAAGTTATGACGGAGATAAAGATTCAATTAAGACTGTCCTAACTTAAGTAATCTATAATTTAACGTAAATAAACTTTACTTTACATAAATAAACTTATTTCTTTCCTTAAAATAATTTAGGTATTGTACAAAATACGTATGTCTTAATTTAATTTTGAAGCCGAAAGCTGAATACTGTACCTTGCCATCTTTATACTAATAAAACATCGGAAGTGTATTTGTCAGAGAAGAGAAAAAAGTAATCATAAGAAAATTAAATCCTTTTTCTAAACTTTCGCTTCCTTGTGTAAAAAGGGAACAAAACACAGCATATTGCAAATGGCTATTACGTTATTTTAGCGATATTGAAGCAACACGCTCATTTGTCATCTCATGATATAAAAAACCTTAGTTTGCTTAATCACATCATCACTAGCTCATTATACGTCCCCACGAAGGGGTCGGAGCCTACCCTAATATGGGGTGATTGGGCCATAGACAACCACGCTGGCCAAGTGCGGGTTGGTTGGACTTCACACATATCTTTGAATTTCTTCGCCGATATGTGCAGGTTGCATCACGATGTTTTCCTTCACCATAAGAACGTCGGGTAAGTTATGTATATATGAAAATTCGAAAAATCGAAAATCATATTAATACATGGCGGGATTCGAACCCAAGACCTGTAGATTACAAGTCAAGTGTTCAAACCACTGAGCCAGCGACGCTCTAATCATAGTTAATACTCATCAATAGAGGCACGTGTTGCACTTTCTCGCAGCCACACTAATCAGTCACGCCACAATACTTTCTGTCTCAATAACACTACTTCCTACTCGCCATGATTGCTCGCCGGTGTAACGTTTTCATTGCTTAACACGATACGACATAACAATATCTCTTCTTAAAAATTACTTTACTAATCGTATAATTGTACTGTCTAAAACGTGAGACATTTTATGTGTAAATATATATTACGAGCTGCTGCCCGCGATTTCGTCCGCGTGGTATTAGAAAACATACGAACTATATAAATAACAAAAAGCTACGTATTCCTCGGGGCCCGGACATTTCTCAGGGATAAACCTTATCCCATGTGTACTCCAAACTTTGTTTTATATCTGTGCCAAATTTCAATAAGATATGATGAACCGTTGCAATGGTACCACGGGAACCGTAACTATTCCCGGGTTAAAAAGTAGCCAATGTGTTCTTCCAGAATATGCTCTAAACCTGTGCCAAATTTCATGGAGATTCGATCAGCCGTTTAGGCTACAAGCGCTAACAAACATCCATTCATCCATCGATCCATCCAACCATCTAAACTTTCGCATTTATAATATTAGTAAGAAGTAAGATTTCATACACGCTTCACGATTAATTTTCATTTGTGAAAACTTTTTGCTCAAATTATATTAGTCACGCAAAACCTTGATTACTGTACATAGAGTAGGAAATTTAGTATTCAGACATGTAATTAAAGACTTCGAATTGACCGTCACGCGTCACTCGTGAAACAATAAACCTTAAATTCCATTCAATTCGAAACCTTGGCCTGATACCGAATATCTAGTGCGATTGTTCTAACGATCGCCGCCAATTATATCATGTTTAGTGCGCCATTGTCTTTGACGTGATATTTACACTCCAGTGAGATAAATACTGGGATTTTTTGTACAGTCGAAGTATGTAAGCTTCCCACTTAGTATATTTGTACTTACAATTGTAGAGTACACGCTATAGCGTGGGTTTTACTCCCACAAGGTATACTGATTATAAAGTTGAAGCAGTTTATACGTCTCGTGCGGTAGAGGGCGCTGTACTACAAGCGGAAGATTAATTATGAGTCTCTAATATCTATACCTCTATAGTTCAGTACAATTAAAATATGCTTGTTTTATATTAAATTATAGGATTTGTAGCAATGTAATTAATAAATAACATTTAAATCAGATAAAGCAAGAAATAAGCCCAGTTATTTTATGATTTTGCAATAACGCGTACTCGCTGGAACGTTACGCCTGCAAATTAATTACTAGCTTTTGCTTTAAGCTGATTGCGTTAAGGTATTTTACATACCGACTTGCGTATGTTTGGTGTCGTCAACCATAACGGTATATATGAGAATACCATTCCAATTGCTTATATCAACTGAAATTGCCTTGGGTCATTTTACGAGTACATGTTGCTTCTGGCATCAATATCGACGAAATGAATAAAATTAACCCGAGTTAATTTAAAGATCTGAATCTTTACATCCCAAAATAGTTCGACGGAAATACACTTAATGTAAATAAATACTGTTTAACTACAATAATGTAATATAAATTCATAATTCCGCATATTTCAGCTTATATCATGTTACAAAAAACATATTTACGTAGGTATACATATTTTTTTATAAAAAAAAAAGATATAACGAAATTTTTCAGATACCAACACATGTAAAGTATTCTTACATTTCAACTTTCAATTTTAAATCGGATATTAAAAAAAACCTTGTATGCATAACACCGCCCTACAATCAAGTCCAGTCTGAATTTACCACCTTCAACCCATTTTAACAATCATTAATTACGTTTAATAGTGCAACAATATTGTCCGCAACTCAATGTGACAGGATAAACTTAATCTTATTACTAAGCTACAAAGTTCAAAATGTAACAATGATAACAAAGAAATATTAAAGTCCCCTTATTGGGTGTACGTTGAAAGGACTTCAAAAAGACCTTGGCTTTTGAAAGTACACACAACCGGAACGATTGAACTGTAAGTAGTGCCTGTAATTTTATGCGGATAGAGCTTTTTATTTTTAATTTTGTATAAAAAGCAGTCAAGAAGGATATCTTGATAAATAATGGTCGACTTGTTTTAAATGCAATTAGGCAGTAGGTAGGTTAGGAGCAAACAGGTTGCCTGGTTATAAATATTAATGTATTGCATATTACCTATCATCTAAACACTCCGCTGACAATTCTACTTCACCTTCCCATCCTGTAATTATTACAAAATGGTGTAATGGGAAGATAGGAAGGAAATTTGAGTTAGGTATTCGGCATCATAGGCGCCAAGCAGAAAAAGAATTAACCACCAGAACTGGTAACCAGACTATTGGTGCAGCAGTTCTTGCAAACTGAAAATAGAATTTCACGAAAGTGGAGATTCATCACAAACACAACCATTTTATTTTCAATTTTCACATATAGATGGCGTCCTTTTATATCTCCTAACAAATGTTTTGTTTATCTCTATAATTACATTTATGTATTATTTTTATTTCTGTGTTTATTACTTACTTCAGTCCTTAGTATTTTTTTCTAATTCGTTTGTTTTAATTTTTTTTAAATCTTTAACACTTTCTGCCAAGACTTTATTTTGAACGCATTTATAAATGTTGTCAAGTCGTTATCGGTTCGGTTTGCAATCTTTTGTTTCAAAAATTTCAAACGACTCAATAATTTTCAACTATAATCCAGACGAGTACATAGTTAACTTAAACTTATAACATAAACTTAATTTTGAAATGGAAGATTCTGGTGTATTCAATCTTAACAGGTATACAAAAATATGAAAGTTCTAGACAAATATTACTTTGATATTTTGAACTTGCGCGCTGTAAAGTATTGATTTTTGTACCAAAATAACTTCGGAACATGTAAATAAATCATAAAGGAGATGTCCGGTGCACGAATATATTTGTGTTTTTGGTAAAGCTAAAGTATAGAACCAGTATTTTGTTGTGCAGGAATTCAGAAACTGATACGCCAATAGTGACACCAGTGAAACCTAGATTGGGTAAATTCTTTGATATTTACTCGCCCGAACATCTTAATTTAACACCGAAAATAGTAAGTATTCTATATATTTTATTTATTCCGGTTAATTGACTTTACTAACGAAATCTTAACATTACAGACGAAACGTTTCCATTTCAACGGAGTAAGTAATGAAATCGAAAATTTTGTTACGCCTGAGAAAGCTTCCAAATATGAGAATATATGGAGGTAGGTTTGTAATAACAATAACATTGAAGATTATAAAGTGACAATGTTGTATTAATTGTGATATTTAATATAAAGATATCAAATCTAGTGTGATAAAAAATATATTCTTAATTTTCTAGGAAGGTCAATACTCAGCGTAAATTACATGATGTTTGCAATAATTCATTTGAAGGGAATCAAAGCTTTCCTCGTATAAAACGCAAAATACGTCCAATCAGAATGGATTCAGAGACACCAACTAAACTCAAACAGGCAACAGATGTAGTAAGAGGTAAGATTTACATCTCTTAAAAAATCTTATAAGAACTTAACTCATATCTATTCCGTAACAAACTTAAAATTAAAGTAAACTGTTTAATTCAATTACAATAGTTCAAAAGGTAAAAAACTCCTGTAATTCTAGTTGATGGTCCAAATGGTCTCCGCTTCAACACTTCGCTGGCAGTGGGTGATGTTCCTGGGTCATCGGCACAATCTCAGACAGAACGCTTACAGCAAGCTATCAACCCAAGCAAGGCTGTATTCACTATAGAGCCCAGTTCATTTAAGGTAACATTTAAAAGAAAATCTCTTTTTCCCTTACACATCTAAATGTATTTCACTTTGTCAGGTAACTGGATTGTTAGATTTTGCTCTCATATTTAGTAAATGGTATGTAAATAACTAAATTTGTATAAATTTCAGATTCTAATTGTAAACAACAAAGCCTGTTCTCTTCTTGGTTATTCTTCGGGGGAACTCTGTGGTCTGAGATTTTCAGACCTCATTCATAACAGAAGCAGCAAGACATTCAGACTAAATGAACAAGAAGAAGGTGATACTTCTGAGGATGGTACTGTCGTTTTACTTAGTGGAAAGGTAAATTATAACTAAATTTTAATTATGATAAAACTAGCTTTCGACCGCGACTCTGTCCGCGTGCAATAATAAAAACAAAAATGAGTAGCTTATGTGTTTTTAAAGACTATTCTCTACATCTATACCAAATTTCATTGAAATCCGTTCAGCCGTTTTGACTACAAACTCTAACACACATCCATCTAAACTTTCGCATTTATAATACTCATATGATTAAGATTAAAAACCTAAAGTTTTTCATATCTGTATTTTCAGGTGGTAGAATTACTGACTAAAGATGGTACATCAGTTCAAGTGTCGCTCTGGATAAGGCAGTTAGACAATGATGGGCCTTGCTTAGTTATTGCAGAACCTGTCAGCTGTAAAAATGTTGTGGTAAGTGTTACAGTATCCCATTCATAATCGGTCCAATGGTTTTTCATTTTTTTACAAAGATGCAATAATATAGAAAATTAAACGAAGTCTTCTTACATAATCTACAGCCAAATGTTGAAATGACAATCTTAAATATTAAGGCCATCTTTAAACTCTAAATTCCATTAAAATTTTGTTGTCCGACATATTGTAAACGGCGTTTATAAAACTTATTGTTTTATCAACTAATGGCCGAATCGTTAGTTATTAAGTTTATTCGTCTGTCTACACTAAGGGTCTTCCTTAGTGACTCTATGATCTGCAGTACGGGTTCCACAATAAAGATGTTTGCAGTTAACAGTGGATGCGGAGACAGGTATGATAGTGTCGTGCGAGGGGGGCGGCGGCGGCGACGCGGCGCTGCTGTTCCAGGCAGACTCCGCAGACAAGCTGGTGGGGCTGCCTGTCGCCGCGCTCATACCCTCCATACATTTGCCACCCTATGACACCCCTATATCTAACAACATCTCCAAACAAAAGGCTACAGGTATACATTGTTTAGTCCAGTAATCGCTCCTTAAGTGCACTTATCCAACTATCAGACTTGCAGGCCTGACTTACTCAAACTTTTCAAGGCAATGCAAGCATATTGTTAGACTTTAATAAATTTAAAATATAGATTTTAGTTATATTTCGTGTACTACTTGTTTCGAGTGAAGAAAGTTTAGTAAGAAAGCAACTTTGACTCCAAATTTTCTTAAAAATTGTAATATTTTAGTCTCTCTGGCTAATTAGTCTGCAGACTGGTCTAGGCTAATTCTAATTAACGTTAAAAGCAGGAAATTTCTATTTTTTATCTTCATTTTTCAGGCAGGACATTAGATGGTGGCTCTTTCCCATTATGCTTGTGGATATCAAAAACTACAAGTCTGGAATGTTCTCCGTGGACTGGAATTAAGACTAACCGAGAAAGACCTGTGTACATTGTCAATGTTAGGGTATGTATTGTACATTTTAGCAAAGAAGTCATAAAATCATTAAATCTAAACTTTATCAGTATAATGCCATGACCATTTTATAATTAATTCTTACAACTGTTTTAGTAACCTTTATATACTAATATAATAATACGCAAATACACACTTCTTTGTTATATAGAATATCAGCTATCAGCATATTTTCAATTTTTTTATTTATTTTTTATTTCTACTTGTTTAAAAAAAAACAAAAGCCCCCATACAAACAGCATGTATTTGTATGTGGCAATGTATTTTCATGCTGTTTAATTTAGGCGGTGATTGATTTGGAAACAATTGTCCAGTGTGAAATGCGAAATAATGCGAACGAAGCCGCACGGGTACAGCTAGTTCTGAATAAAATCTCAAGTCTAATGTTACTGATTAATTCTGTTAATTTATTTTACGCAGGTAACATTTAACGTAAGTGGTCTGCTGGTGGTGGACGAGGCAGGTATAATAACGGCGTGCAACCAGCACTTCGCCATGCTGACGTTCGGCAAGTCGCAGGCCGAGGTGATCGGACACCACATCACCGACGTCATACCCAACTTCTGCCGCGAGGCTGACATGCTCAAAGCGGGGGACAGGAACAGAAACATGACATTATCGCCTGTTAATAATGGTGACGATGCGTCAGGTATGTCTTCTAACAGTGTTTTAAAAAACTAAAGAAACCATTAATTTTTATTTTATGAGAATTCCTGTTTAATCTAACTCACAATAATTGGATTTTAATCTATATCTATACTATCTATACTAATATTGTAAAGGGGAAAAATTAGAATTTTTGTATGTCTTGAAATGACTCAAAAACTACTGAGCCGATTTCAAAATTTCTTTCACCATTTAAAAACTATGTTATCAGTGAGTAACATAGGCTAGGTTTTTTTTAAATCTCGTGCGGGCGAAGTCGCAACCAACAGCTAGTCTATTTATATTAACAATAATCTTTTAATACTTTTAGCTTCGGACACAGATGAAGATTCTTGCGGGGCCTTCAATGGTAGTCAGAAATCAGCTTGCATGTCTCTCAATGTCCATCAATCCATACAATCTATATCTACAACCAGAGAGAAATCTTCCAGCGCGTTATGTCTTGACAAATCGTGCAGCATGATCACTCATACACCCACACCCACACAAGATATGGTCTCCAGCATCAGTACAACTGAACAGAGGAATGACACATCAGCCTTACCGGACATTACCTCAGGCATGTCAGGAATATCCATCGATGAAGAAAATTATTGCCACAGTAGTATCTCAAAATCCCGATCGGAGAACATTCTACGGTCAGAACAGAGTAGCACCCAAAGTAAACAAGCACCTAAAGGTTCAGAGAAGTCAGAATCTATTTATTACACATCGCAGCATTCTCAAGAAGTTACACCAACAGGAAATACACCAAGAGTTCGTTTAAATGATCCTTCTTTACGTCTCTCTTTCGATTCTGGTAAATGCAAGTCTGTGAAAGTGAACCAAAAGGAGGACAAGAGTAGTATATCTGTAGATTTTTGTGATTCAAATGAAACAAGTGCTGATTTCCTGACTCCAATCAATGAGATGCCTCCTCCGGGATGTGAGATAGAGGATCTACCTAAACATAATGGTAACGACAGTGTGGACAGTCTCAGTAATGACATCGATTTGGAGACACAAACTGAATCCGCGCCAAGGAAGAAGTTTGAAGGTATGTTTCAAATTGACACATGAATCAATACATAATAAAAGATTTAGATGTAAAAAATGAGCAGTTCCATTTTAGCGTTATCGGGGAGTTTGGCGAGATTTCTGAGCTTTTTAACTGATACACAAGCCTTTACGCCCCCTTATATCCGGTGCCCTGAGCAGACGCCCTTCGCCATAAATAGTAACACAACTTAAACGGCTTCTGATGATATTATATTGAATTTTATAAATATATTACCTTTCGCCCGCGACTCCGTCCGCGTAAAAAAATTAATAGACTATGTGTTCTTCCAGACTATCCTCTGCATCTATACCAAATCCTCATCGATATCCGTTCAGCCATTTAGTGTACAAACTCTCAAACATGTATCCATCCATCTAAACTTTCGCACTTATAATATTTGTATGATAAGTATGATTGTTTCAATTATATTTTCCATTCGATTCATATTTTTTTTATTTGTCATTTGAATGATATAAGTGTATTTGTAGATGAAACTCCAGAGACTCCGTGCGTGGCAAAGCGGCTGCTGCGCGGGCAGGTGACGACCTCCACGCCGCAGCAGGCGCGCGCGCACGCGGACTGCGGCGACGGCGCCTACCGCGGCCTCGTGCTGCACAAGGACGGCACTGAACTTAGTACGTATTTCTATACTCTTAAATTAAACATAACACATGAAATGCATTTATCAGATTAACTTTTTAATAGAATCGAAAACTGGATCTTCTTTTTTGGTATATAAGCTAATCGACTGCTACCCATAGATATCCGCGATCGATGATGCGTTATCTATCCTTAGTCGGCGGAAACGAAGACTCACAGAGAGAGAATATTTCTTCGTTCTATACATAGAATTGAATTGACGGACGGGATACATCCCGTCCGTCAATTCACATCCCTTTCCCATACTTTTCTTATAAGAAATAGGACACATTCATAGCATGAAACGAGGAATTGCTTCCATTTGACCCGTGTCTATACATCGTGTTGTGTGCAGACGTGGTGTACACGGTGTCGACGATGCAGCTGTGCGGCGTGGGTGCGGGGGGCGCGGGGGGCGGGGGCAGCCGCGTGCGCTGCGTGTGGCTGGGCGTGCGGCGCGAGGACGCGCGCCACGCCACGCTCGCCTCCAGCCTCGCCTCCACTGCGGATAACTCACTTGTCATGGTCAGTGTTTGATGAACTTACTGTTGTATGTCTTATCTAACTAACATTATAAATGCAAAAGTTAAGATGAATTGATGTTCAGAGTTTGTATTCTAAACGGCTCAATGGATCGCGATGAAATTTGACATAGATGTAGAGGATATTATGCAAGAATATATACACTATTTAATCCCAGAAATAGTTATGGTTCCCGTGGGATACATTAATATGACTAGCTATCGCCCGCGATTCCGTTCGCGTGAAATTAAAATAGTAAGTAACCTATGTGTTCTTCCAGATTATCCTCTACATCCGTTCAGCGGTTTAGTCCACAAACTCTAACAAACATCCATCTAACCATCTATCCATTCATCTAAACTTTCGCATTTATAATATTAGTAAGATAAGATTATGATTTTTCGAACGTTTTTTTAAACTGTGCAAAGCCGCGGGCAAAGTCTAGTTAGTCTAAAATGGTAAATGTTACAGGGCAACAAGTCTGTGAGCAGCCGGCCGCAGTCCATGTCGCTGATGAGCCAGTGCGGCGAGGAGCAGGTCGCCGGCGAGTACAGCAAGCACTACGTCACACTCAAACAGATTGGTAAGTTTCTTTACAAGATAATGCCACTTTTCTATCGAATTTAACATCAATTCCAAAGTATTCATAGAGTCATTTTAGTGTCTATTTACACTAAGCAAATATTAGTAAAAATTTTGTTTATACTCAGTTTATTTCTAACCTAATTTCATACCGCGTTTATATGTAAGGATGTAAGTATTTAGCTTTTTAATGTCTAAACGAGCTGTCACCCGCAAACATCGCTAGCGCGGATTTCAACAAACACGGCATGCGAACAGACAGACAGAAAATATTTTTATTAATGCGATTTTCGTTGTCAGCAATGCAAAACATCATCTTCCCGAAATCTGGAATTTTTTTTTGATGTTATACAGACACTGCAATTTTATTATACATATAGAATAGATTATTTCCTTCAAACGGCGTCATCTCCAGGCAAAGGAGCATACGGGTGTGTGAAGATGGCGTACCGGCGGTCGGACCGGCTGCTGACGGTGGCCAAGTTCATCCTGAAGGAGAAGGTGGGCGCGCACTTCTGGGTGGACGCGCCCGACGGCCGCAGGGTGCCGCTCGAGCTCAGCCTGCTCACCACGCTCAAACATCACAATATTGTAAGCTATACGCTGTTAAACGAAACTAAGCAAAAAAACATCATTGCTGTTACAAGTAACATAAGATAATTTTCAAAAAATTTTAATTTATACTAATATTATAAAGAGCAAACACACATCTTTGTTATGTAGGATGTTAGCACTCACAATATATTGTTCAATATATTTTATTTCAATACAAAACCTAACACTAACGGCACGACTATAGGCTATATATTTTCACGATGTTTAATTTGGGTGGATAATTTTGAAATCATTGTCTTGTGTGAAACGCGAAAGCATGCGGAATAAGCCGCTCGGAATATATAACCGAATCGAGCATTTTAAAAAACCCACACTGATCCGAATTTCATGTATTTACCTTAGGAATCATTGGTAAATCATAATGTTTTGTGTTCTAATGTAAATTTACTGTACTAGCTTTTACCCACACCGTCCACTTAGAATTAAAAAAATTGTGTGATTAGTATGATTGAGTATTTTTTAATATAAATTGATATCGCAGGTGAGCATCGTGGACGTGTTCGAGAACGACAAGTACTTCCAGATGGTGATGGAGAAGCACGGCGCCGGCATGGACCTCTTCGAGTTCATCGAGCGCCGGCCGCGGCTGGACGAGCCGCTCATCAGCTACATCTTCAGACAGGTGAGACAGGCTATGTGTAAAGTCGCGGCAACACGCGCTGTCACGAGGTTTAGGCTAAGCGCCATCTGCGCTCGGCCACCTCAAGCCCGGTGAATCTGTAAATGCCTCCTCAAGGCAAACAGTGGCCATTCAGTCACAAAAAAAAAATAAAAAAAAAGCGCTGTCACACACAATAATTGCCTTGTTCCCTCAATGAGACAAACTCCGTTTTTTATTAATAATTATTAAATAACAATTAGTTGTGTATAACTGTATGATTTTTTTTTCGTACAGACACATTTAAAAGCTAAGTCCTACTGGTTTTTGTTCAGCATTACCTCAATGCATACAAAACGTTCAAGCGATAGTTTTTGAGGTGGAACACGGCCAATTTCATTGATTGTACACGCATAACTTTAGTTTATTTTCTTTCTTTACTTTTTGTTTAGTTTTAATTTAATGCGATAGACTTGATTTTCAACATATCTCTAACTATCTGTGATAGCTTAGACGCTCCAGATTCTTATTAGAATTAGTCTGTATTTTTATTTCTTCATTATACTTTGTAAGTTAGCTGTAAGTTGTCAATGTTTAAAATTGTTACAGATAGGCCAAGCTGTGGAATATCTGCACTCTTTAAATATCCTGCACCGCGACATCAAGGACGAGAACGTGATTATCGACAACAAGTTCCACGTGAAGCTCATAGACTTCGGGTCCGCCACCTTCATGAGCCCCGACACGCTCTTCTCCACCTTCTACGGCACCACCGAGTACTGCAGCCCCGAAGTACTCACCGGCAACAAGTATGTACTACGCGACCGCCATAACATGACACTTACCTCTATTTAGAACGACAAATGTAACGATGTTTATTAAAATTGTTTGTGCCGAAACATTCATACACAATTTTTAATGGACGTCGTCAGAGATTTACGCCTATTATACTCGTAATTGTTATAATTATTTACTAGCTTTCGACCTCGACTCCGTCTGCGTAGAATTATATTAACAAAACTTAAAAACCTATGTGTTCTTTCAGACTATCCTCTACATCTGTGCCAAATTTCATCGAGATACGTTGAGCAGTTGAGGCAATAAATTGTGACAAACATCCATCCATCTTAACTTTCGCTTTTATAATATTAGTATGGTTGAGTATTTTTGCATGTAATATTAGTAATATAACATTTTTGGCCTATTTGCAGATATGCAGGCCCGGAGCTGGAGATGTGGTCGATGGGTATAACGCTGTACGTGCTGACGTTCTTCGTGAACCCCTTCTCCGACATCGAGGACACGGTGCACGGCGCGCTCGCCTTCCCGCACGCCGTCTCTGAAGGTTCACTTGCTTAGTAACAGATGGCTTCTCAAGCACATTTTATATACCAAAACAGACTAATAATTCATCTTACTTCTTATTAATATTATAAATGTGAAAGTTTAGATGTATGGATGTTTGTTAGAGTTTATGTTAAACGCCTGATTTCGATGATATTTTACATAGATGTAGAGGTTAGCCTGGAAGAACACATAGGCTATTTACTTTTGTTTTTTTCAATAGCATGCGGACGGAGTCGCGGGCGAAAGCTAGTATCTCATAATATTTATATCTAAAATCAGTTTTAGAAACATATAAGCGGTCATCATAAAATAGAACTATGATAGCTTTATCTTTCACACTCTTTTATGCCTTTTATTTATTTTTCACATAAATAAAAAGAAGTTATCGATAGCAGCGTCTCTTACCGACCTAAAAATCCTTGTTTGACTATTCGTGATACATACTTTCTCGGCGCCATGAGGTCGCCATTCGACACCGAGAAAGAATACTAATAAAGGGGGGGTGGCTAGTAGTAAAAATAATCCTTTTTTTAAATACGCTTATGTCCATATTTAATAGTAAACTAAGAAGTAGTTTATAGGTTATTTATGTGAGTCGGAATTCACTGTAGGCAAATGTTAGTTACTATTTTCAACTCTACAGATCTAGCTGCCCTCCCCCTCCAGTGACTTGAGCGTTTTTGTTGTTTTTTTCAGTTCCAGGTAAACTAAAGGACTATTATAGTAGTGAGGCTTATAGACAGTTGTATTCCAGAGATGGAGCACTTGCTGCGCTGGATGCTGTGCAAGGAGCCGGCGCAGCGCTGCAGCGTGCCGCAGCTGATGGCGCACCCCTGGACCAAGCAGCCCCTCAACATCAACAACTACGTATTCCAAGATGTCGTCGACTGTGGTACGTTGTACTAACTGCATAAATAAATATACTTAAACGACAAAGAAAACAGACTTCTATGAAATGCACTAAAAGTCAACAAAACTATTCCGTAAATAACTTTGAAAGATAGAAAACTCTTGTTATTGTAACTGTATGAACATTTTACATGGAATAATCAAAACATAGACGAATTGAAAACCTTACTTAAATTAGATGGATGGATGGATACTTGTAACTACGTATCTCTAAAACGGATTAAAGTATTTCGTATAATTTAATAAACAGTATATGTGTGTGAAATATAATATGGAATATTAATATTATTGATTTTTAGATCGTCACGAAGCGAATCCAGAAATGTACTTCAGCGGTAGTCTTGGCTCGCCTAAAAGCAGTTCTCCTGTTTCCCTTGCTGATCCTCACATCAAAGGTACACATTACAAATTGTCTTTTTTTTTACATTTTTTACTTATCACTTAAAATAACTCTCGCACCTAAAATTGTTTTGTGCAACTTCTCGCGTTCACACCTCGCCAGTACAGTTGATCAATAGTCAAACTCTACTGACAACCAACTGGCATAGTGCGAACATTAACTGGCGTCGGTTAGTCCATACAATCTATGTGTGGCCTGCTAACTGTTTCATTGTACTGGACTAGTGTGAACTGTGTAAAAGCCACTATGATATATGAAAACTATACCATTATATTGTTTATCCTTCCTTAAAGCTTAAAAACAATTGTATTGTTCCAGAACGTTCTAACCCATCAGAGATGGCGGTGAGGTCGGAGGTGCGGCGCGTGTCGCGGGAGGAGCGCAAGCGCGGCTCGCTGGCGCACGCGCAGCACGCGCTCTCCGCCGCAGACCGCGACCAGCACTCCGACAACTACAGCCTGCGCTCCTCCGCCGATGTAATTATATTACTATCACTACACTTTACATAATCTATACTAATATAATAAAGCGTAAACACACTACTTTGTGGCGTAGGATGTCAGCAATCACAGCATTTTAACAGTGGTAGTGCCCGCTTTAACATCTTAGCAAGAATGGGCCGGCACGCCCGGTGTAATACCACGACCACACAGAAAACAGGCGTGAAAAAATGGAAGCAATTCCGTGTTTCGTCTGATGAGTGTGGTGCCGGAGGCCTAATTTAAGTGCCTTTCTCTTTACCACCCTTTTCTTATAAGGAGAGGTTAGGAAGAGGAAGTGGATTTGACGGTGGAGGAGATGCATAGGAAGGGGAAATAACCCCCTTTATGTACGTCTCCTCCTACGTCGTATAAGGGTAGGCAACGCATCTGCAATTGCGGATGTCTAGGGGCAGCGGTCGCTTCGCCATTTTGGCTGTTTCCGTTGGCCGCTTGCTCCTTTACCACCTTATGTTATAAAAAAAATAATTTTAAATAATTATTTCTTCACTTTATAACATTACTATTGATTTTAGTTTAATTTAATAGAAATTATATTTACAAGTATAACCAGCGCTAGTCAATTTATTATTTCCAGATATTAGATATATCTTCGAAGCCGGTGTCGGACGCGGCACTGACGGACATCAGCTCTGACGCGACCGGCCACGCCGCGTGCGACATCGACTGCGACTGCGACCACTATGACTGCGACAGCTGGGACGAGTGCGAGCAGGACAGCTTCTCTTAGAAGTATAACGAGTGAAAGAGACAACATGTACGAGCAGGATATCCTCAATTCAATGTATAACGAATGAAAGAGACAACATTATGTGAGCAGGATAGCTTCTGTTAAACGTATCGAATGAAAGAGACAACATTATGTATGAACAGGATAGCTTGTGTGTTAGTAACTTTGTGACTAGAGCCAAAGAGATGTTATTTGTTGTCTTTGATTGTTTCTGGCAGTGAGAACGAATATTAAACCAAAACGGAAAAATTAAAATATAAGTATTGGACGATAATGTCGGATTTGTAGAGACTGATTGGACTTATGAATTGTTAGTATTATTTATTGTCCCTCGGACTTATGTAATTAGCTGATACGTTGTAAATAATTTTTATGAATATCTATGTGCTTATGTATTATCAATATCGTTTATGCTATATATTTATTTCTGTAGATTTAATTATTTCTGTAGAGTTGTGTATAAGCAGATCTAAATTTTTCATTATTAAATAATGTATGCGAAATCAGTATTATGTTGAATGTTATGAGGCTAATCATTATTTTTATTGTTTTAATTTATTATTACTATAAAATCACAATTTATTCTGGCTTGTTTTAAATATGTTATTGTCGGAGGTGTTGACGTGAAATTTGAAATATTTGTAGACTTAGACAATAAGTTAAAATATTTTTTCAAATACAATCAGTATTAATTCGGATCTAAATTAGAAATAAAAGCACTTTAATTAAAAAATATTTATATATACAATGATAGTCACTTAAATAAATAAACGTCAGATATGATACGTTAGACGTTTTTGGTATAAATGAGCTTTATAGAAGTTAGTGGGCAAAGATTGGTGTAAAATACAATAATTATTTAGTGACAACAACTCTTAGCGTAGAACTCCACTGACGTGTAACTTGTATTGGAAGTATAGGCGTCCTTTTCTTTATGTTATAAAAAACAGATTTACTCTAAGAACATTCGTCCACAAAGCGATGTAAATTTTCGAATCTTATCGATTTTAGTCGAGAGGCGACTAAGGCAATATGAATAGACTGTCGCGACGATGATTTACCTTGCAACTGTACGACGAGCCCAAGTTTCGAATTATTATATTTCCTTGTGAACGAGGGGCCTACAAATTCCACTGCAGTGGAGTTCAACGTTTATACTACCTGATGAATTGTATTCGGAATTGTAACGAACACTACAGCAACAGGGAATGTTAGCATAACCCATAGTTGTAATTAGCAATAAGAAGTTTGGTCTGGTCTGTTTTAATACATTCTGTTTGCTAATTACAATTTTGGGTGTGATATTTTAATATGCGATGTTTTGTCTTCCAGCAAAGAGAGATCGTGCTTGTTCTGGTGAATTAAAATATGATAGTATATAGAATAATACATTTCTTTACTACATTATTACTAATACACTTCTAACAATATAGTATTAATAATGCATAAATACCGAATGGATTATTTTATTAATTTTAATCAATTTTTTACCTATACTACAAATGTATTATACCTTCAGAATATTCACAAACAAACGCTTTTATAGTTCGAAACATGAAAGTAGTATATAAGCAGGACTCAATTTCCTCAAAGCCTCTAAACGAAGTAAATAGATTCAATAGGGAATTTACGTGATATTTAGATATATGTAGGAGTATGGCCAACATTCATGTTTGCCAATTAATATAGATGATCCCGTAACAAAACAACGAACCTTAAGCAAATAAACTTAGTATACAGTTCCCTCTATAATAAGCTTTCAATAGTTGAACAATAACAATAAACATTCCAAACTCTTATGATTAGATAAAATTGTAACTGTATCAGTATAAGGACAGTACCTTAAATATTTTCTTACCATTTGTCTAAAAGTAGATCTTATTTTTTTGTTTTTAGTGTCTAACCCGTTTATCAAATATATCATTAGTATCTTAGTGGGAAGGTATTATATGACATATCGTTATTGGGTTCAAACTAAATTGGTCTTTCCCAGTGAGGATGAATTATTTTGTAGATGGCTAATCCCTACATTAATTTTATGATATTTGAATAAGTTCTATTATATTATCGACAATTATCTGTTTTAAATTGATTAAATGATCATAAAAAATACTATCGTTTAATTTAACTATGCTCAAGCTGCAGCTTGCGGCGTTAAAAAAATAGACACATGAGTCAGACATCTCTCTTATTATTTTTGAAAAACAGAGAATAATAAACTTTTTTAATAAAAGGATTACAGTTGGTCAGTAACTTTTATTAACTGGACTGGGAATCAACTGGCATAGTGTGAACACTAACTGGTATAAGTGTATTCATACCAACAAGGCTGCCGCAACTGTCTAACTGTACTGCCCAAGTGTAAACCGCTTATTATAGCAAGTGTTACCGCAGTAGAACTCTCACTTAAAAGTGAGAAAATCACAGCAGATTCCATTCGCGTCTTCAGTTAGAATTTATTTTATAAATGTAAGCGTGGGCGACATATTGATTTAATTGTTTTTGAAACAACAATAATAATTGTGTTTTTATCACAACTCGCACTTATCTTAACAAAACAAAGCTATATAATACGTTGGTAAAATTGAATTTATCATTCTCCCCAAAATCGAATTGTCTGACACGTGACAACTGACAACATTGTGTGAAATGTCAAATTTTATGGCGGTGCGTCGCTTTTCTGCCTATCATTGCAGATTTTACGCAAATACTACTAAAATTACGTGTAAACAAACCAAAAAATCTTTATTAGCGTATCGATCAAACAGTTCTATAAAAGCTTCCACTATATTGGTAAGTAAAATCATTTCAATCCTATTATTTAAAGTAATTGTTGATCTTTTTTCCGAGTGCTCAATTGCATGTACATTTGAATTTTGTTAATTGATAAATGTTCATTGAAGTCGCCTTTGATCTTCCACGTTGGCCATAACGAAAACTATCATTATAAAAATCATTCTATGTTAAATAGTATTATTTATTATATTAAGGTAACCCACAATTTATGCACCTCGAAATATTTTTTTATCTTATAATAAAAACTTATACAAACTAATTTATGCATTAAACAATTAGACCTGGGTTATTTAAAATGGGCTAGAGTTATAGAATCTTATATTTTATTGCATGAAATCGTAAAGGAAACTAATATTAACTTTAATTAGACATTCAAATTGGAATCTTAGATTAGAAAAGTTTATTAAAAATTGCATAACTGTGGAATTAAGAAAAAAAACAACAGCACACAACTAAGACATAAATATACTCTGATTAAAATCTTACAATTCTACCCACTACCGAATAAGGTACTATCAGAATATAAAAAGTCTCATATAATTTCGTAAAGCAATGTTTTTCTTTGTTTTTTTTTTGTTTAGACACTTATGTATTTCTTTTCACAATTGGGAAAAGGAATTGGCTCCTGCAGCACAGCGAAGCTAGTGCAGGAGCCAATTCTCTCATGAAATGTATATTTGTAACAGTTAAATAATAAAGCATTTGTTTATTTATTTATAATTCACTGACAAGTTACAGTTCAATTTGTGCTTTGTTGTGGAATATTAATGAAATGTGTAAAATGTATGAGGTCAGTATATTAAAGATCGGTAACCTTTTATGGGTACCTTAGACAATTGTATTCGATTTTGCATATCAGGAACAACCATACTTCTGGTTGATGAACCATGATACGCACTTGGTGCTGTACTTCTAATATAAATCTTATTGATTCTTCTATAAATCTAATTGTTATATTACCAAGAACTAAAATGGATAATTTATATTGAAAATATTTCACAACAATTTAGATGTACTAAATGTCACCATGTATTGTTTACAGTTGCAATTGATAAAATGAGATAAGACTTGGCTTTGTTTGAATCAGTTGTTATTATGCATTTTTATTATCACACTTTACACTCATATTATAAATGCAAAAGTTTGGATGGATGGATGTTTGTTAGTATTTGTAGCTTAAACAGGATTTCGATACAATTTGGTACAAATATAGAGGATAGTTTGGAAGAACACATAGGCTACTCACTTTTTTTTATTCCACACGAACAGATTCGCGTGCGAAAGCTATTGTTTAATATTATTTGACCACTGAAGCATTTATCTATGATTATAATGCAACCACTTTATTAAAAAAAATGTTCTTTTTTTAAATTAGCATTTTCTATGTTAACATATTAACTATTTAGGGGGGTGTTTCATTTGTAAATACATGTGTTTTAGTGTGTATGGTTTTAACCTTTTATCGGTCAGTAAATCTTAATTATCCTTTGAAAATATACAGTAGATATACTAGTTCAAGCAGGAATACAATCATTTCCATAAAATGTTTTTTATAGATTCGAACTTTTATACCTTATACTCTTAACCTCTGAGCTATGAGCATATTGAGCACGTCTTTTGCGTGTCTTATTTCATATCGAAGTATAAAAGATGATAGGATAAGATAAATCAATAGAGAAACACTCACGTTACGATAATGGATGCTTTACCGAGATATAGAGGGCATTGAATTTCCAACTGACACTGACTTATCGATATTTAACATTGAACATCTTCATGTATAAACAAACATCCGAAGTATATCGTATTTTATGGTAAAAGACTACTCAGATTTTTTTAAACCTTCGATTGTGTTTTAAACTGACGTGCACGTAACACGAATGCAATTATTTTAACTAAACTAACTTTATTATCTCTTAAATACAGCGATTCATGACAAATGTATCAAAGTTGAAACAACAAATAATCTTGGAAACAAATCAGTTTTTACAAAAAAAAAAAAAAAACATACCGTCGAATTGAATACCTCCTTCTTTTGGGAAGTCGGTCAATTAATAATCTTTTAAAAATAGATTGAAATGCATGCATATGAAATCTAATGCTATTAATCTTGCCTTTTCAAAGTTACGAATAACTTACCACGGCAAACAACAGTAATAAACAACGCAATTCTATTGGATTCCAAGCTACGCTACCAAAGTTATGACTCAATTTCATTACTTCAAAACTCAGTCGTTATATCGCATGCGGAGAGTTCCCGCATACGAGATAACGACTAAAGTGGTCTGTCGACGTAAAGCAAGGAAAGACCATCGCCCAACGCATGCGTGCTCTAACAATTAGTAAAAACGGTTCTCGCATTCGGGCGCTATGGCATGCGTGAACAATCTCTTGCACTACGCATGCTGTACTATCGAGTTTTTGGACTTATGAACTTGGGCCCTTATAAAGGTTATAATCCTTACGATACCTACACTAAGGGACTCGTTTAGTAATGATCTTGAGTTCGGTAATGTTATAACAATTCAATGTAACAATTAATTCCCCACCCGGTATCACCACAATACAAAAATATTTGGCCAATATCGAATTTAAGTTTACGTTTCTATTCACAACATCCTCATCAAAACCATACATCAATAGTTACATTCAAACGATTGTTGTCGATGTTTAATGTAATCGAAATGTATCAAACACATTAGAAATATTTCAGCAAGTTTTTCATCTTCGGACCCACCACATTAGAAATCGAAACTACGACTGAATTAATGTAGAAAGATTAGACGTCAGTTATTACAATGTTCAGTTTTGTGTACTCGTTTGTTTTAACTGTACAATTTGACTGTTCATTTAAAACTAAAGTTGTTGCGGGCGTTAGGATACGCATCGAAGTTAAATAATAATACATGCATCGTAGTATTTTCATACGTATGTTATGTACTATCCAGTTATAAAAAACTTGAAGCCATTAAAGGAGTATTTTTGTGTAAAACTTGTTTGGCATCTCCCTGACCTTTAAAACTTTACTTTACTTTTTGTTAAAAACAAGATGTAATTATTATAGTTTTTTTTTTACACAATCTTAGACCATCGATTATGTACCTATAACATTTATTTTTGAAAATATGATTTAGGTACAAATTGGTATTTTGCAGGTAGTTTCGTGGAAACTACACATTTTTGTACGTTCATTGAATTATAACTATACTAAGATACAAAGTAAATTATCAAGTTACCTTAGGTATAGTTGGGGATAGCGATAATATCAAGAAAAATTAGGTATATTCCCTAGAATTTCTTAAAGAACTACTGTCCCAGTAACAATAACACAGCTGTTACATAAAATGTATTATCTATGCTCTAAATAATTCAAATTGTCACAATACTGGCAGCTAAGATGAACTGTCTGACAGAAGAGTAAAAAATATGACAAAAGCTCGGATGGCGAGAGCCGGCTCGCTGGCTGTCTGTGGCTCTCTAAATATAAAGCGACTACGGTCGTGGAAGCATTCAGTCCGTGACGCTCGCTCGCGGCTGCACGGCTTTATAATGTCTCCATGTGTTTATGTTGTGCTTGTGTTGTCAACATGTGCGGTAATGCAGTGCGCGCACGCCTCAAGTTCCCCCTTGAATATGAGCTTCGTGTACCCTGTGGCGCGGAGAGATGAGTCCGTCATCGACGACTACCACGGTACTAAGGTAAGCAGTTCGATGCTCTAAATACATTAACATTCCATTAAACAAGCATTTTCACTTTAAAGTTATGTAGATCATGAACAGAGTTTATTAAGTGGTAAGTTATTTTATCCATAGAACATAACTAAAATAGTTAGCTAACCTAATATTACAATGTTTATTTTGAGATGGAGTTACTTATGACAGATAAAGTTTCTCTTAGAGCTGGAATTATGTATCATTTTGCTATAAAAATTGTTGTATTATTTAATACTTTGTACACTAGCAGTTCATTGAGCTTGAGAAACACTTTTAAATTATTCTATCGATCGTTCTTCCATTACTAGCCTTTTTATAGCAGAAGGCGGCAAACGAGCAAGCAGGTCACCTAATGTTAAGTGACCGCTATCCGTAGGCATTTCTCACAAAGTTATGCGCTAAGTTGCAGATGCACTCAACATTGGAAAGTAATGGGGATGAACAGAATTTGTGACAGGAAAATTATTATTGAAAATAGCTGTTTTCTGTTTAAGACACTGTAAATATGGGAATTCAATAGATTAATTCGTCCCACGGCTAGTGTCGGAAACAAATTTTATGGTCGTAAGCTCTCGTATAAATTGTATAGTACAATTATGTTTTTGTAAAATGCTCTATTGTACTTGTTCTCATGCTAGAAGCTGCTTCTCTTAGCATACGTCAATATCCCGAAAATAAGGCAGTGGCAAGAAGATAGATAAAACATACTGCATTCATTTAAGACAAACATGACTTAAATTAAAGTTCAAACAATTCATTCAAAATTCTATAAATCATGCAACAAATATAAAATTACTAGCTCTCGCCAGCTACTCCGTCCGCGTGGAATTAAAAAAAACTAAGTAGCCTATGTGTTCTTCCACTCTTCATCTGAGCCAAATTTCATGAAGATCCCTTCAGTTGTTTAGACTATAAACTCTAACAAACATTTATCCATCCATCCATCCATCCTTCTAAACTTTTGCACTTATAATATAAGTAAGATTTAGTCACAATAAAGTATTGGTTGTGTGAGGAAGTCGTTACCAAATGTAGAACTTCCGGATGTAGAGACAACAGGTGCATACAAATGATAACATCGGAAGCTGCTATAAGTAAACGATATGTATTCAAGCGAGGAAACCTTTTAAGCAAGGGTTCCACGGTGGACAGTTCTTTATGTCGCGTCGTTGGCTTGCGTCCACAAATTCTCCTAACGCGGGAAACCACCTTTAAAAACGTTTAATATTAATATTATCATACTTCATACTAATATTATAAATTCGAAAATTCAGATGGATGGATGTTTGTTAGTTTTTAGCCTAAACTGAATGGATTTCGATGAAATTTGGTATAGATGTAGACGATAGTCTAGAAGAACACATAAGCTTATTTTGTACTTTTGGTTTATTTTTTAATTCTATGCGGACGGAGTCGCGGGCGAAAGCTAGTTTATGATAAATAAACGCAGTAGTTGCCATTCAAAGTCAGGAAAACCGCTTTGTTTGCTGCATTCTTCAATAACAAAAAATCATAATACAAAGACATTGCATTAGTAACATGAGCCACAGGTTTCAAGAAAGACTGTGTACATTAAAATCATGCCGAAAACTGATAATTGTTTTTATTATAATATAAGGTGGCAAACGAGCAAGCGGCCACCTGAATCCATCGAAATTGAAAGCGACTTATGCCCATAAACATCCGTGGTTAGCCCATAAAGATACGTTGCCTATCCTTAACTGACGGAGGAGGAGATGCACATAAAGAAGACATTTCATCTTCCTATTCATTTTCTCCACTGACAAATCCACTTTTCCTTACCATCCTTTCCTCTTAAGAAAAGGGTGGGAAGGGACAAAAATTAGGCCTCCGGCACCACACTCATCAGAGGAAACGCGGAAATGCTCCCACTTTACGCCAGTCTTGTGGTCGTGGTATTACACCGTACGAGACGGCCTATTCGTGCGAAGATGTTAAAGCGGCCTCTACCACTGTAAAAGATGATCATATTATTGCATTTAGCTTATATCCGGGTTCAACAAACTATACCTTGATAAAAACTATGGCGAAAGATTAAACGTTTTAAACCAGTGAAAAAACCTTAGCTTGTTATTGACCTTTATATTTATAACTATCAGAATATTATAATTTGTTAAACCGGTTTTTTACCTCTTGTTATATGGATGCGATTATCGAAAGCAATAATTTTCCACTTCACCTTTTTTTTCATAATTAAACAACATCCATCGACGTTGAGCATCAAAATAATACGTGACGAAAAAACATAGTTTAGAAAAATTAATAAAAAAATACAGACGTGTCTGACAAGATTGTTGTCTGACTAAAAAAACATATTTAATAATTTGTTGCTCATAATTATAGTTGTTATAACAACGGTTTGCAAATCACTAAACGCACCATTTAGCTTCTAAATTGCAACTCGATGTATTTTTTTTACCGTAGCGCAATTTGTTTTATAATGGAACAATTTACTATAATAACGTGTTTATCCTAAACACTGCTTGTGCAATGAGTAAGAAATTTATCCACGACTAGCTGCTCCCGTGCGGCTTCATCCGCATGAAGTTATGATAGTTTTACTTTATTGTTTATATTTGTCAAATTATTAATAGCAAATGTCAAAATGACATGACCTGACAAACCCTGGCAACCTTGCTTCCTTGATGTTGACAGCAACTTATGGTCTCTTTCCCACATTAGGGTTTATTCCAAAATGTTTACCATATCATTTTAATAGCGTGAAAATAAAAAGCGTGACGCAAGTGTAGGGCTTTTTTTATTAAAGAAAGTATTTTTCAAAAACACGCTGTGATTGCTGACATCTTAGGAAACAAAGAAGTGAGTGTTTACGCTTTATTATAATAGTATAGATTATCATAGAAAATACTTGTGTAGTTTTATTGGATTTAATTATAGCTATAGTTATAGGTAATTGGCGTAATTAGCTATAGCTATAAGGTCTTTGGCGTAATTTAACTAATTTTAAACACGACGGACAAATTAAGTGTATAATCTTATAAATCAATTAAACCTGAAATAGTTCTATATTAGGCTATAATATACGTCATGTTATAATCGTTCTTTTCAATTAATTTAAAATTAATGTAGATATAAATCCTTTTTTGTTATTTACTAGTAAGTAACCTTGCAGCGCTTTATCGAGGATTTTTCCTGACATAAACATAAGCATTAAGCTCGTATACGAAGCTAGTTCACCTTATAGAATAGCGAGACGAAGGGTGTAGCTACACTGCTCTGTATGCGAAACGTTGTTCCTTCTTCACTTGTATTATTGTCACGTCCACTGTACTTATTCGTATATGAAACCTACATAAATAACCTTTAGAACTTAGAAAATAAGGCTCTCTTTATTTTATTTTAATGAAATACCTGTGATTTATTATTTGCACATAAAAATTTTATACAATGTTAATTTGTTTTAGCTTATTTTTTTCCATGCTCAAAGAACGTGCCTTTGTAGCAAACAATATTCTTGCCCTAGAAATAACTCGCGAGAAATCACATTCGCTTTTTGTATAAAGTTTTTGTACCAATGTAATCAATAGGATGGTTGCTTTATTTATAAGAATTTAACGCCATAAATAATAAAATTGTTTATATTAAATGCTTTTTATGGAGGATACGTTCGTCGATCTGTTTTCGAATTTAAGATATTACCTTATACAAGTCAACTCTCGCAATAAATCTGCACATATTACGTCGCTTAAGAGTTAATTGTAGTACGTTTTATCTAATCAATTATATTTATTTAACGTTTAACTTGTCCAGATACATGACCCCTACCGTTGGTTAGAAGATCCGGACTCGAACGAGACCAAAGAATTTATAGAGGCGCAGAACAAAATAACGCGGCCATTCCTCGACGCGTGCCCCGTCAAGGCAGACATTAGCGAGCGTCTCACCGAGCTATGGAACTACCCAAAGTACTCGTGTCCCTTCCGCAGAGGGGATAGATACTTCTTCTTCAAAAACACTGGCCTGCAGAACCAGAAGTAAGTCCTATAAATAATTAAAATAAACGTCATGTCAAATGCTCTTAGATTTTTTCTTTTTGGCCGACTTCCCAAAAGAAGGAGGTACTCAATTCGTCTGTTTTTTTAGACTTACTCTACATGCGACCTAAAAATTTTTTTTTTTCAAATTTTCACATTATAGTTACTAAGTGCTATTTTTCAACGTGCAATAATATATAACATATTCTAGCAGAGTTTTATTGCATATTAATTAGTGTAATGAGCGTTTTCTTTCAAGCACGTATAAGCCGATAGGCACGCAGGCTTCTGATTTACACATGCAGAAAACATGACTGGTCTATTCCACATCCGTACATTAGCGCTTACATCATTACTTTTTATGTATTGATGTTTTATTTATCACATTTCTTGTTAAATGTGTCGACTAACTGGTCCATATACATTAGGGATGTTCCCCTGATTGTTTAAAAACTTAGTGTAAATTTTCTTTGCATGAATGGCCAGTTTCGCAGATACTTGTTAGTGTTTTTGTTTCGTTAATTTTTTGAAATGCCTTTCCGAACTACGTCACTTGGTTTTTACTTTTGAATTGCAGTTTAAATTAACATTAATAAATCACTATGTAATCTATACTAATAATAAAATTTAAAAAAGTATCTTTGAATTTTTGTATATCTTAAAATAATTCATAAACTATTAAACTGATTTCAAAAATTCTTGCACCATTAATAACTATGTTTTCACTAAGTAACAGCTGTTTTTCTACTATTTTTTTAATTTCACGCGGAATTGTTTCCACTTCACGCCTATCTTGCGTGGTCGTGGTATTGCGAGCCGGCCAATTCGTTCGAAATTGTTAAAGCGGGCTCTACCGCTCTAAGTGATTGTTACTAAAGAGTTCGTGTCGTCCAGTGTGCTGTACGTGCAAGACAGCCTGGAGGGCGAAGCGCGTGTGTTCCTGGACCCGAACGCGCTGTCGGCGGACGGCACGGTGGCGCTCTCCGGCAGCCGCTTCACGGAGGACGGCAGCACCTTCGCCTACGGCCTCTCCGCCAGCGGCTCCGACTGGATCACCATACACATCAAAGATGTCGCCACCGGTTAGAACATAAAGACATACTTAGAAACATCTATACTAATGTTATAAAGAGCAAATATTTGTTTATTTGTATGTGTTGAGTCGATTTCATCAGTTATCAGTGAGTGAAATAGGCTATATTTTTTATTATTTTTAATTTAACGCGGGGGAAATCGCGAGCATACGCTAGTTTTTAAATATTAGACATAAATAATGTGTGCATCCCTCCAGCATATGTTATACAGTGTGTATTTTACGTATTGCAGGTGAAGATTATCCCGAAGTATTGGAGAAGGTCAAATTCGCCTCTATGTCGTGGACAAAGGACAACAAAGGATTATTTTACTCTGTGAGTATAAAGAAGATTCCCTATCAAAGATATTCAATATAGAATAGATGGGACAATGTTAACCAACTTTTATTCATGTCTTGTTACGGCTTTCCACTATGTAATTATACTAATCATACTAATTTTTGAAATGCGAAATTTTAGACGAATGCATGTTTGTTACTACATATCTTCAAAACCGCTTAACGGATATTTCTAACATTTGACAGATGTAAAATATAGTCTGTAACTGCACATAGATTACATATAGTGTTCCGAATAATTGTTTGGAACTGTACCTGCTGCCGAGTTCTGTCATCGCACGAGTCAATAGAGTGCTAAATATCATCGTTACCACCTCGATGGTTGGCACTTGGAGGTTTTCAATGTCTTACCTCGTACAGCCGCGTTATGGAACACTCTGTCCTCAGTGGTATTTCCAAACAGTTACGACTTAGGGGCCTTCAAGAATAGAGCATACTCTTCCCTTAAAGACCGGCATCTGCAGTACCCCTGGCATTGCGGATGTTCATGGGCGTCGGATAACATATAAAAAAAATACTAACTTTTTTTAGTTCCGTGCTGATTATTAGTGGGCAAAAGCTAAGAAATCATTACAATCTTTCGTAATCGTTGGTTTCCTATCTAAAGTCCTGTATATTGTTGTGTGGTGTGAGCAGCGCTACCCGGAGGCGGCGGGCAAGGCGGACGGCTCGGAGACGGAGGTGAACCGCGACCAGAAGCTGTGCTACCACCGCCTCGGCACGCCGCAGGCGCACGACGTCGTCGTCGTAGAGTTCCCCGAGGAGCCGCTCTGGAGAATGTAACACACTCTTATATCGCTCTAATATAATATGCGACTGATGGATGGATTGCGTTGAAGGTGACATGATAAAGAAGGGAGTGATGACTTAGATGACGGATGATAGAGTGCTTTGGAGGACGAAAACCCGGTGCGCCGACCCTACGGGAGTAGGATAAGGCAGGGGAAATGAGATGATGATGATGATAATATGCGACTGAGCTAAAATTAGTTAAAAATGGACAAAACATTCTATTCCTACTAGGTTAGTGGGAAAAGAATAACTAACTAATGATTAAAGATATTAAAATCGTATCAAAGACTAAGTATGCGATGCAACACGCCATTATTGCTACGTCGCTAGCTCCTACGTAAACTATCGTAGGTATGGAAAACACAATTTTGCGATTTACATCTTGTATCTCTTGTTAATGAACTCGATAAATATTCATTTCGATGTGGATTTGAAAGTAACGTTAGCAAGAAAAAATGTAGACTTTGGTTAACTATGGTATGTTTGTGTTTGATACCACGTAACTAATATTATTAATGTTTTAAACATATGATAGTTTACGTAGGAGCCATCGATTTTTGTGTTATCTCATAGAAATGGAAGCGATCGCTCGAGGCTGGTGGAAAAAAGGTTTAATTATTGCAGCAAACTCAAGTGTTAAGAATGTTTAATATTACCTAGTTTACCTTTTACGCTTGAATTTTTAAAAACCTTTATTTACATATGATAAATTTTGCATACATATTTCCCTGTTGTCAACAGAGACATAAATACGCAAATGCGGGGACAAGAGAGACGCTCGTAGGTTTACTTCTATTTATAGTATCGTCAAGTACTCAATAATTACAATATTCATGTACTTGTAAAAATTTATTATGCATAGCTAATTTGTTTAGCGTAGAGGTTAAAATTTATGTGCACATGGTAATGTTGTTTTAATTAGTGGAAAAACTGTATGTTTTTATTTTTACGATAGGCTAGATTAGACAAATTATTTGTATATCACATACTTTTTTAAGTCACTAAAACATTTTGATATTTTTAAACAGAACTACAAGTTAGAAAACCAATTTATTTGAGAACTTCCTCATTGAATCCATTGAACCAAAGGAAAATTGTGTCGATTTCGTATACATTTTTAATTATACAAATAACTACTTTATTCTGTTATACACAAATGAATATAGAAACATCGACAACAACTTCCATTATTTTTAATAAATATCACAGTATTTATAAAGTGTGGGTGCGTGTGACCCATGGGACGCCAACTTAACTGTTCGCCCTCAACAATAGATGGCGCTTTTTCAAACTATCAATCGATGTCTTGCGTATACTTATATAACACCGTGTGCGTGCAGCGGCGCGGAGGTGTCGGACTGCGGGCGCTACCTGCTGGTGTCGCCGGTGCGCGACTGCCGCGACAACCTGCTGTACTTCGCAGACCTCGACAAGCAGCCGGAGATCACTGGCTTGCTGCCCCTCACACAGATCGTGCACAAATTCGAAGCGGACTATGAGGTGAATTATACTTTATTATCGTGCTGTAAGTGTTTACACTGCAGAGTAAATTTGTAAATAATAATAGCCAAGAGTTTAGTTGGAATTTTAAAAGAAATACAAGTAATTTAACAAAAAATCTACTAATATGTTATCTAAAAATATAATTATTTAAGCACGGGATAACTCGATTTACTTGGTTTTATCATTAGATATAGTACTTCAGAAATAATGTTATTGTACAGTACATCACAAACGAGGGCTCAGTGTGCATATTCCGTACGAATAAGAACGCACCGAACTACCAGCTGATCAAAATCGACCTGCACGACCCCGCTGAGGAGAAATGGCAAACTCTCATACCTGTAAGTTTAAAATTATAATGTACAGGGTGATTCTTAACCGATGGATTAACGGCTTTGTAGTAAGAAGACCTCAATGTCGTTTAAACTCAAAGTATGTTTCCCAATTTTCCATCCTATTAAGTTATTTATTTTTGTATAAAAAACGTAAAATTCAGATTTCCGACTAAAAATTTACTATACGTCTAAAATAATATGTTAACAGTGGTAATTTTTTTCTTGAACAAGTCTAATAATTAAGAATCGAGCTGTATGTACATTATAAATAAATATTTTTATAATTTCAGGAACATCCTAGAGATGTATTAGACTGGGCGTCGGCTGTCGACAATGATAAGCTAGTAATTCACTACGTCAGAGATGTTAAGGTTTGTTTAATATTTTTAAAACTAGTCATTTATCCTTACTATCCTCAGATCTATCAAGAGATAGAACTCAATCAGAAAGAAACTTATTCTTCAATATTCTTGAATAACTGTTGCTTCCTGTAATATTAAAATAGGCCAAGTTTCTAATAAGAAAGTCTTTTGTAACCGATATCAAACAAGTAGGTTCGCAATTCGATCTATTTTTTTTGTTATGTATACAAAATTAAAAACTATCCAGTAGTTTTTTAGTTTTTCTTAAAAAAGTACGTAAGTCGAGATTTTGTTCAAATCAGTTTTCGTTTTTCATTACACTATACTGTTAGATAATATAGTACATTTTTAAATTACATTATAAGTATTTGGTTTCCAGAGTGTTCTACAGCTGCATGACCTGAAGTCTGGCGAGCTGCTGCAGACCTTCGAGCTGGATGTGGGCTCCGTGGTGGGCTTCTCCGGCAAGAAGAAGCAGTCCGAGATATTCTACCACTTCATGTCCTTCCTCTCGCCCGGCATTATCTACCACGTCGACTTCACCAAGAAGCCATACACGCCCACTGTTAGTATATACAATTTTACGATATTTTAAAAGAAATCAATATAAACAAATTTATAAATGTTAACAAGGCTTTCTTATTTTTCTATTCTATTGTAATTAAAGGATAAATAAATACTGGATCCTGGAGATAAACTATGAAAATCGATTTACAGAAGAGCACAAAGTTTTAACAGATTAAAATAAATAATATATGATTTACCTATAAAATCGACAAGGCCATTATCATGTAAAGAATCTTTCTAAGACAAAATGTTTCTTGAATGTATTGTGCATGTTCAAAAACCTTTTATCTCTATATTTTGTGTATTGCAGGTGTTCAGAGAGGTGAAAGTAAAAGGTTTCGACGCGTCGCAGTACGAGGCTAAGCAGATATTCTACTCCAGCAAGGATGGCACCAAAGTTCCCATGTTTATTGTATCCAAAAAGGTATGAATTTAGAGATTTAATTTTTTTTTTTATAACGAATTACTTTTAATTCTACGTTCTAAATACACAAAATGAACTGAAGTAATGTAAGATCACCTTAAATTAAAGGGCCTAAAATTCGCGAAATGTTATGCTATCTTCTACTAGCTACCTTCCAGTCCCATCAAAATCGCACCACCCGTTACAGAAAAAGCGGTTCGGTTGATATTTTAACAGCGCGAAATTTAAAAATGTCAAAGGCGGCTACCCTGTAGAAAATCCCGTTAAAATCGACACTGCCGTTCCGGAGATAATAGGAATCTGTACAGCGCCATCTGTTAGTAATGAAGTGGAATCGATATTTTTTCCATACTTAGGTAGAAAGTTATATCTAACGGCCTAATTTCAGTCCCTTTCTTTTCCCAACATTTTCTTTACGGAAAAGTGGATTTGACGGCGAAGAAGACGCATAGGAAGGGGAAATATCCTCTATATGCGTTATCTTCGTTGATTAAGGATAGGCAACGCATCTGTAATTGCGAATATATATGAGCAGCGATCGATTCGTTTTCTCGGTGAATTCAGGTGGTCGTTCGTTTGCCAACTTTTAATGTATCCACCCGCGTGAAATTAAAAAAATTCAAAAAATACAGCCTATGTTACATAATATAAAAGAATTCATGAAATCGGCCCAGGAGTCTACGTGAATCTAAATACATACAAAAATACAAATCTGTCTTTATAATATTAGTATAAATAAAAAAAATCTACCTATTCCAGGACCTGCCTCGCGACGGGTCCCGTCCGGCGCTGCTGTACGGCTACGGCGGCTTCAACATCAACGTGCAGCCCAGCTTCAGCGTGACGCGGCTCGTCTTCATGCAGCACTTTGACGGCGTCGTCGCCATACCCAACATTCGCGGCGGCGGGTACTTCTCACATATTACGATTGACGCCTGTCATTGTTATGCGCGGGTTACTTTGCCAGTACAGTTGGTCAGTGGCGCTTAATAACTGGATTGGCAATCAACTGGCATAGTATAAACGCTTAATTGCTCCTCCATACAATTTATAATTGACTTGACTGTCCAACTGTACTGACCAAGTGTGAAAAGAGCATTATTTATTTGTTTTATTCCATTTGTATATTTTTTTAAGCCAACCAATAGCTATTTATTATTTTTTAGGTATAGTGGTAATGTATCATACAGCCAAGACAGGTCCTCACTAATATGAGGTTTACAATTTATTTTAAGAAATTGAACAAAAATATTATTGCGTGAATTAACAATAGTAAAACAGAAAGATACAAACATTCAACAAAAAAGAACCTAATTTAGTCAATTGTGGTACATTACAGTTTATAACTAATGAATAAGTTAGTATAGAATGGTATATGTTATGTGCAATTGTGTGGTGCGCAGCGAGTACGGCGAGCGCTGGCACAACGCGGGCCGGCTGCTGAACAAGCAGAACGTGTTCGACGACTTCCAGGCGGCGGCGCAGTACCTGGTGGCGCAGCGCTACACGCGGCCCGCGCTGCTCACGGCGCAGGGCGGCTCCAACGGCGGCCTGCTCGTCGCCGCCTGCATCAACCAGCGCCCCGACCTCTTCGGCGCCGCCATCGTGCAAGTCGGGTGTGTACTGCCACCACCACAGCTCCACTTTCACCCAACTCACTGTAGAACCCAATTCCACGACCGCACGGATCACAGGCGTCAAGTGGAAGCAATTCCGCGTACAGTCTGATGAGTGCGTGCCAGAGGTATAATTTTAGTCCCTTTACCCATCCACCCTTTTCTTGTAAGGAAAGGATGGGAAGGGAAAGTCGAGTTGATGGTTGAAACGTATAGGAAGGGGAGATATCCTCTTTATGTTTATCCTCTCCCGTCGATTAATGGTAGGCAAATATCTGCAGTTACGGGTGTTTAGGCAGCGTTCATCATTTTGATGGATTCAGGTGGCCACTTGCTCATTTACCATCTGTGATATAAAAAATGTATCTAGGAAGACTGTTAAGTATAGCCTTAATATCAACCAGACTAGAATATTAATGTAATAATGATGATATATCGTGTCGCAGTGTGCTGGACATGTTGAGGTTCCAGAAGTTCACGATCGGCCACGCCTGGGTGTCGGACTACGGCAGCTCCGACAATAAGACGCAGTTCGAGTACTTGCTCAAGTACTCGCCCCTGCACAACATACAGCCCCCGGACAACGGTAAATTCAAACTAAAGCTGTCATATATCGATATAAGTACAACCATGGACATATTTGAAACTTTAGTAGAATTTTTGATTGTAATATATAAGTCATATCTCAGTCACATTACATCTGGGATACAGTTGCAATTTCTTGCATAGAAAATTGATATTCTTGATTAAGTTAATATGTTTATATGATGGTGGCAGGCAGGGCGGAGTACCCGGCGACGCTGGTGCTGTCGGCGGACCACGACGACCGCGTGGTGCCGCTGCACACGCTCAAGTTCATAGCGGCGCTGCAGGCCGCCGCCGCGCGCAGCCCCGCGCAGCGCCGCCCGCTGCTGGCGCGCCTCGACACCAAGGCGGGCCACGGCGGCGGCAAGCCCACCGCCAAGCTGGTCACTACACTCTTATACCAACACTTACGAATATATTTTAGTTAAATTACCTAATATCAAGTCACTTTTCAATGTACATAGCGTTTCAATCTGTTTAACGGCTGAACTTGACCTGTTATTGTGCCCTGCTAACGACCGAGATTTCTACGGCGTCTTCTTTTTTAGTACAGGGAAAGGGAGGGTGTAAATAGGTTTATTTTAGACTGTTTTTTTTATTCAGATCTGATGCGCCCCTTTCTGTTCAGCGGATACACGCCCTATCATAGCAACCATTTAGATCGAAAAGACACTTGGAATATCAGAAAGACAGAAAGTAAATGAAATGTATGTTTTATTGCAGATCGAAGAGCACACAGACATCCTGTGCTTCATGTCGGAGACGCTCGGCCTCAAGTTCGTGAAGTGACGTCACGAGCACCGACACCGCTGCAAATAGTATTAATTGTAAATATACCAGGAAGCCGCAATACCAGTCTGATGACTACCTCGCGCCGGTGATATTGTTACGCATTATTACTATTTTTTTATTGAATAAACATTGTTTTTATTTTCTAAATAGTGTTTTTTTATATCCTTGCACTTGATACATTTGTAACAGATTCTTAATGAGAAGACTCCGCTTAAATTCCAATTTAAAACTAGACATTTGAGAAATATGTAATAGGGCACATTTTTTCACCGGTACTTTGCAGGATATTATCTCAATGTCAGGCATGTCGAGATGTTTCTAGTACCTTCGAAATAAGTAATAAGCCCCGCTAGTGTTGAATAGTTTTTAAGTTCTGCATAATGTGATTGTTCATCGTTTTGAGTTTTCGATATTTTTTCCGTCATAAGTCAATACGAAAAAAACGTTTATTAATATAAGTTTTTTATTATTTTAATAATCACCGTTTAAAATGGCAATTAAATATTGAATATTAACAACATACATGATTATGCAGTTATTTTTTTTCTGATACAGACTGTATTTATGGATTTAAAAATAAGGCTCCGTCAGCGCTCAAATAAGCATTTTTATAAAAAAAAAATTGTTGCTATTAATTTATACTCGTCGAAAAGCTTATTTGTGCTTTTGACTGATCACCAGGTAGCGGTAGTGGGTTTACGTGAAAAAATGTTTCAAAGTGAAATGTTGCATGTTTAACTATGCTTTCTCAACATATTTTTTGGAACACTGTTTAAAACAGGACATTTTTGTACGAAAATAATTAACAGGGTTTACTTTTGTTTAAATAAAAGAAAACAATAGGTTTTTTAATCTTTATTATTCCTTACAATACATGCTGACAGCACGAACTTTAGTTGGGACTCGTTTCACCCATAATATAATATGAAATATTAGTTCCTTACAATAAAATAAATAAAACACTTCTAATGCCCTTGTGGCGTTCTCAATATATCCAATATTTTAATTTCTTTATGCGTTGTTACTCTTGTGCAACAGCATCAAGAAATTGTTACAATGGGATTGCTCCATAACCTTTTTAACAAAAAAACGAGACAAATATATCCGCGCTTTAGTCATGTATTTAGTTTTAACTTAAGAGCGATCTAGTCGCAAGCGCAGACAAATCGACATTGTTACCAATAAGTAATGAAAATTATGTAAATCTGACCCATTACGATGAAATGTACAATCCATACATTTATCGTACAAATGATCGGGCGCATACTTTACCGACCAATTGTATCAGTACATAATAAAGCCCCCTACAAACTGAACAGTTGGACTGTTCATTTAAAACTGAACGTCTGTAGCGGGCTTAATGCAAATTTATATACTAGTTAATGGATAAAATACACAAAGTATATAATATCGTAAAATAAACAAGCAACCTTAGCCTAGTTTATACTAGAATAATACATAGTTGTGATGTCAATTATGTTGGCAGTTTTTTTCAAACAGTTCACAAATATTTGCAATAGAAAGCAATAGCTTTCGATCACAACAAAACGTATTTGAATTAAAATTAGGTTACATTTCATTAAATTTCTAAATTGACAATCGAAGTTAAATAAATAAACACTTGAATTGTATGAGTACCATGTCAATTGCATTTTATTGAATAAAAATAAAGTTGTGATGATCCTAAAACATTGTTAAAGGTACCAAGGTACCGAATACAAGTATCGAAATTAAAAAATAACACGCATATCGTAGTTACAAAAAAAAAACAATTTGAAAATATTGTTGTCTCACACTGACAAACAAACCATTCTTTCTTATGGAAACGGGAAGGGGGGGGGGGGAATGTATATATGTAATGATGAAATAATTATAGATTTTATATCCCAAATAACAGAAATCATAGACGCACCGCCGTTGAAAGTTTAACCTTAAAGTTATACTAAAATTACCATTTCATAGGTCAGGGTCCAGAGGGATGGGGGATGGAAACTTACAATATTTTAGTATAATGTAAATGCGCGCGTCCTCCTCGCCGCGGCCGCCGCTGCGGGGACGAGGACGTCGCCGTCCTACGCTAACCTACAGTCCCACCATGGCCGCATGGTGCAACGCGCCGCGCTCCGCCCCGCATATGCACGCGCACTCATCTAGGGATGGGTGTTGATTCAACGCATGAATCAACTATTTTTTTAGCGACCAATTTCTTACTTTTAATCAACGAAAGAGGGGAATATGCGTCCCCTCTCCCGTCATATCTATAATAATAAAATTTGTCACACCCAGTCACTGGTCGCTATTTTATCGCTGCCCGTTTTCATGTCCTTCATTAAATTAATGATTACCAAAATACTTATCCAACTAGTTGAAAAAACAAATAACAACAAGTTTCGTTGGCAGCAAAACCGTCAACTTCCCATCCCTACTGTGAGTTCATTCATACAATACGCGAACACTTTGTAAACCGTTCGATATCCAAATGTTTGCTTTGTAGAGTGTTATCTCTGTCACACTGCGACTGATGCTTCGTGTGACAGAGACAACGCTCTACAAAACCCAACTTATCTCTTTCTAAGTCATGGTGTATGTCGCGTACTACAGATACATGTACGTACGAGTTCGGAGCCACCGCGTCCCGGACAAACATTATTTGGCTCGTCTTCACAGCCTCTTTTTTATCGTTTGTCGTTTCGTTATTTAGCACAAAATGGCTGACTTCGAATTAACTATCCTATTTTTTTCGTACAAATATAAATACATTATAACTAGTAGGGTAGCGTACATCTTTAAGTGATGACAATAATGTAAAAACAAATGACGTTACCAAAAAAGTACGCGATAAAATATTGATGAACGAAAAATCTTTTTGTTAAATGAAATGTATGAATGAATGTTATAAGAGTGAATATATCAGAGCTGGGAACATTAGAATAGATCCCGAACAATAATTCCTCGCGGTGAGATATTCACATATGTGTAGTATTGCGGCGTCACTCCGCGAGGCCGTTGAGCACGCCCGGCTTGCTGCCCGCGCCCGGCATGCCCTGCAACCTGCAAACACAAATCACTATTTAACATGCACTGCAGTTATCTTAATTCATCAACTATTTAAACTAGATAAAATTCACTTCAAACGCTCGTTTGTAAATGAACAGTTAAACTGAACTGTGTGTAGGAACTTTTAACTGAAATCTTTCAGTCACAACTGGTTGTATGTAGAGAGTATGCGCTTTGGGTGAGATCTCTACCGCCTTCTTTTTTACTATAAGAGTTAAGGACCTTTATGTCATAGTAGTTCGTAAAACTGTGGCGCCCTAGGCGGCCTATACGCGCCGTATCCTAACGCACAGACAATATAGGTAACGTAGAATAATGGTTAACGTTGTCCAAAGCAGTTGGACAGTAGCACTCACTAACTGGACTATCACAAAACTGCTTTTGTAAACAATAACTATCAGATAGTCAATACAAGCCATGATTAGCCTGCGCTAGTGACCAACTATACTGGATTAGTGTGCACCAGACATAAGGGTTAGGTACCGTAAAGAGGAGGGTATGATGTGATATTACGTTACTTTAGCGGAGATAGCAGTATCAGTTACCTGGCATCGGCGGAGGTCTGGTTTAGTGATGTGGAGGTGGAGGTGGAGGCGGAGGCGGCGGGCTCGAGGCCGAGCAGGCGCAGGGAGCGCAGCGCGGCGCGGGCGCACTGCTCGTGCGAGGCGGCCGTGCTGGCGCCGCCGCCATGGCACATCACCGGCGGCTCCGTAGACAGCGACACCAGCGACAGATACTCGCCGTGGTTACGCTGCGGACACACATATCTTATCTTAATAATATTATAAATGCGAAAGTTTCTAAACTTCCATATGTCTATAACTCTCTCTACAACAAACATCCATATGTCTACATATGGATGTTTGTTAGTTTGGTCTAAAGTGCTAAACGAATCTCGATGTAAACCTAGAGAAGTTCCTAACCTCGTACCCGCGGTACTATGACGCCCGGAACGAGTCGTATGTGTTCGCCACTATTCGACATAGACTGATTTAGATAGACTACTTTAATCCACGCAGATGGATTTGTAGGCGAAAACTAGTAGAAGAAATGTTTAATACTTAGATTTTAATTTTAATACTAGTCATAACGTCTTTTGTCAGTCAATCTTATAAAATTGTTTTACCTTGGGGAAGTCGGAGAACTCTACAGTGAAGCCGAGGAGTTGGGATAGATACATGAGCTGGTCCATGGCTCCGCCTGCGCCGCCTGAACTCGTGCCGCTCGACTCGCACACGCCTGCAAAATTATACAGGCAAAATTAGTTAGAACTTAGCTTAAAATACAATATGAAAAATGTGTCTTGAGTGGATGTCAAAATTAATAGTCAGTGTAATTACCATTGGCCTTGTGCTGCGTCTGCGCCGAGCGCTGGTGGTAGTCCATCATGAGCACGCCGGGCACCGGCTGCCGCACCTCGCCCCCCGCGCCCGCAGCACCCCCCGCCGCGCCCCTTGCACCCCCCACACTGCCCGCCACCGGCTCACTCTCCTTTTAACATACATTTTAGAATCTTACATAAGGTATCGAGTTGCCGCCGTCAGTTTTTCCGTCCAAATATGACCTTCAAAAGATGAGTAAACAGCTAATCATTTTTACCAGGTAGGATAGTGGTCAAACGCTTAACATAAAAATACTTTGAAAATAAAACATGTAATTTATAAGTTTTACCTTTCGTTTGATGTCGATATTGGTCTTTGTGTCGGAGGCGTTATTCGCACTGACGTTGTCCCCTGCGGGCGCGACTGCTTCACCACCGTTTGCCATCTCCATAGCTAACAGCACATCTGAAATACAACAAAAATACTTCTTAACTGAAGGTCAATAATTTCTCAATAGAGAAATGTTTTGAGTCATCGTTAAACATGTGAGCTACATGCTTGAAGTTCGGTCCGAGTGTTGCTGTTCATTTTTTCTTTTTTATTATTTAGTAGTAGTAGTAATAATGTGGTATATATTTTTGTGTCAATTATATACCATCATACATTCTTGCATATAAATAAAATACATATAATCATGGAATTTCAAAAGAATGGTTTTCTAGACGCTTTTTAAACAATTTAAATTTTGACTTTAGATATAGTGTAGTTTTTGTATGATGTGTTTGCGTAAGTGTCTCTCGTGTTGGAGGCCAAGACCCACTTTGTGTCGCTGCGCCAACGCAGTAAGTAAGTAAGTGTGCGTAAGTAGCGTGTTGTACTGACTATGTGCGGCGCGTCGCTTGGCTGTCTTCTTATTAGGTCCTAGTCCCGTGGCGCGATGCGGCGGCGCGTCGCACTGCACCAGGAACTCCCTGCGGCGCGCCGCCCCGCGCTCCTCCACCACGCGGTACTGCGGCGAGCGCGCGCGCGCCGCGTGCCGCGCCAGCGCCAGCCGGGATATGGGGTTGTCTGCCGCCGCGCCCGCGCCCCCGCCTGCACCCCCGCCCGCGCCCCCGCCCGGCACGCTCTCCGCGCCGCTACCGTTCGGACAACCGAATCTATTCTCCTAAAATAATTAAAAAGCTTATTAATACGAGACATATTTGCATGGCCTTCGCTAAGAGCATGTTAAGTAACTTACAATACTGAAACGAATGTTAAAAGTTTCGCTTAGTAAGCGCCGCTTACGATCTGTCATTGATATGAGTTAATGGGCTCAATTTTAATGGAATTTGGAATTCAAAAAATTACTAAATACGTTAATTGTTAGAAATGTATGATTGGTTAGGTATATGAGACCTTGATGAGGTTCCTTGGGCGCTTCTTGGCAGGCTGCGGGCGGCGGCGGTCGTGCGCGGGGCGCGCGCGCATCGCAGCGGGCGGCCAGCGGCGCCGCATCTCGTCCAGCATGCGCTCCGCCGCGCGGCGCTTCGACACCTTCTTGCCGTTGCCCTCGCCCTCCGTCTCCATCTCACCCACCGTGCACACCGTCACAAACACCTACAACATTACTTACTTAAAACCCGATACATAAGCTCAGCTTTGATAAAACGATCCAACTTTAGGTTTAACTTTAACAGTACAGTAACATAATTGTTTGATTGTTCAGTTATAACTGTGTGGGATATAAAGATGTACGTTACCCTCATGTGAGGCGGGCCGCGCTCTGACTTGACAGAGAACTGCACAGAGAGGTTGCGCTTGAGGGCCAGCTCGTGCACCAGCGACACCGGGGACTTCACTTCCGAGCCCACGATGTCAGAGCACGCATCTCCTGTAAACGCAACAAATTTACATGAAGCGAGACCAACTGTTGCTATGAAATTTAATAAAATTTTTACTTGATAACTTCCCAATATAAATACGAAAGTTTAGATAGATGAATGGATTGATGTTTGTTAGTTTGTAGCATAAACTACTGAACGGATCTCCATGAAATTTGGCATGGACGTAGAGTATAGTCTGGATCAAACAAAAATCTTAACGAAACTTTACACAGATATTGAATCATCTAGAAGTAAATATAGGCTAGTTAGTAAGTTTCTTTTAATACCTCGCGGACGATATCGCGGGCAATATCTAATGACATATATTTTTTTATCTTCTATTCCATATAGTTTTATACTGATGGAGATGGAGAGGAGTAGAGTGGTGGTAGTGACGGTGTGTACCGTTGTCGACGTCGTGTTCTGGCGGTGGGGGCGGCGGCGGCGGCGGGTGCGGGCGCAGGTCGTGCAGCGCGCGCGCCGCCGCGTCATGCCGCGCCGCCTGCGGGGTCGCGCCCTCGCCCAACCACGCGCGACCTCCCACGCACACGCGCACCCTGCACACGACACATATCAATACATTACACATGCAAGTAGCTAGAACTTTTGGTTTTGTGACAACTATGTGTATGTAAGTCGAGGGGGTTGAGGTAGATCGGTTAATACTGACACCATACGTCTCGTATCGTTTTGGAAACAGTAACTGGCATGTCAGCTACTACTCCATTTTACTAACAAGCGTATGGGGAACATCCTAAAGTATGTTTCGCCTACATTAAACTCTTAAATGCGTGATTTTTCCAAATTTTCCGAAAAATAATTTTGAATGCAAGATTTTATTATAATAAAGGAATAAAATAATAAAAAAAATCTAGCATCCTTTTTTTGTTGAATGTTGTAGAACAGTGCGCATTTAAGAGTTAAGTAGCAACAAAGAGTGCAGCTAACCTGTACAGCAGCCCCGGGCCGAGCAGGCGGGGGTAGGCGGGCAGGGCGGGCAGTGCGGGTAGGGCGGGCAGGGCGGGCGGCAGGCGGTAGGGCGGAGGGCGGGCGCGCGCACGTGGCGCCCCACCCAGCGGCGGCAGCAGCGTGTACACGGCCGGCTGGCACAGCTTCATCGCCAGCGCGTTCAGCTCCACCGTCGGCATCACCGCGCCTGCACACACACACACAACATTACTATATTGTATAACGGTCTTTCCTGATTACCCCTAAGTTTAATAGTGTGAAAATATATAGCCTAGAGTGTCGTAAGTGTAGGACAATTTATTTTCAAAAAGATTTTGTCTAAAATATGCTGCAATCGCTGACTTCTTACATAAGTAGTGTTTGTTATGCTTTATTATATTAGTATAGATATATGTTAAACGACGGAATGCTGTGTAACAGTGTCTAAAACGATAAGACCAGGATTAAACTTAAAATTCCACTACAAATTTGAAGTCTCACAGATTGTAAACGGCGCTTACGCAGCCATGTTTGAAAGATTTATTTCAGTATCCGGCCGATAGTCTATAAGATGTTTGTATTATTGTGATCTATTTAGTATATTTGCTACAATGTGGTGGGAGGCGGTACCGGCGTGGCGGTGCAGCGCGGCGTGCGGCGCGTGCGGCGGCAGTCGCGGCGGCGGCGGCGGGAACGTGGTGCCGGCCAGCGCCGCGCTCGCCGCCGCATGCTGCGCGCGCTTTATCGATGACCCCTGAAATTACACAACAGCACATATTTTACTAATATTATAAATGCGAAATACTTTATACAACTGTAACAAAACCCTGAAAGATCAGAAAGATATGTTAAACAGTATAAATAAAACACAAACCTCAGCTGTGTATTCCTCAGTCTCACCCAGGCGGAGTGTTACTGTGAATACTTTCTTGTGAGCGGGCCCAGTCTCCGACGTGAGCCGGTATTGGTGCTTAATCTGAAATCATTCATCACAACAACCGTTACTTTTTTATGCTGAAACTGTGTACTATTGAACATGGGAATAATTGATGTATTGTATTGACAATGCTAGACTGTACGGTCTTACCTTATTGTACCTGGCCAACTCATTGACCAGGCACATTGGTGTTTTCTCTTTACTGTTGGCCTGTGCGGTGGGCGAGGCGGGGGCGGGGGCGGGGACGGGCGCGGCAGCTGTGGGGGCGGGGCCAGCGGCTGTGGAGGCGGGGGCGGAGGCGAGCGGGGCAACGGCGGGGGCGGGGGCGTCGGCCGCCTCCGCCTCGGGCCCCATGGGCGCGCTCTCCTCGCCGCCCTCCCGGCCAGGACTGCAGCCGAGCGGGCCCTGGTTTGTGTTCACCGACGGCGTCGCCACTAGAAACATTACAAATATTATTAACACTGATTTATTCCAATCTCTTTTTAAGATTCGTGGCTTGTACAATTTTTACTTAGAGACCAAAATTAGATAGCCAACTACCACCGCAAGACAGTAATAACATAAGAATAAACAACATAGTGTGCGTTACACAAAGCGACATCTTAAAGCAAAAAAATATTCGAATCCTTCAACATCATAGAAAGTAAATCAGCAGAGAATGTTTATTTTTAACCAATACAAGCTTTACAAATAAAAATAATGGCCAATCTAACACCAAAAAAAAAATTAATCTAGCGTAAATAAAAATAAGGTCTTACTATGAATAGAAAAGTAACATGTTTTTATCTGTTACTTTCATCCATTTTTATCAAAATAAAATAAATAAACATTGTACTACAATAACACAGCCTTTTTCATAAAACACGCAATGATCACAAAACATACCTTTTATGGTATTTGAATCATAGTGGCCAAAATTATTTAGTTTGGTCTGACCCATCAGTACCGGTGATAAAGGTCGGCACAGACCTGACACAAGTTTTGGCATAATAAATATTAAAAAATGTTAATTTACAAATTTGTTCTAAGTATAGTGAATTTAATTTTTCATTACAATGCAATTATTTATAGTTACCTGTCTGCGGGGTGTGTGGGGTGTGCGGGGTATTAGCGGGCTGCGCGGGGGGCTGCGGGTGCTGCTGGTGCGGCGCCGCGTACTGCGGCATCACGCCTCCGGGCCCGTAAGGGTGCGCGCTACCACTGCCCACCGCGTACGGCCGCCGCATTTGCTTCATCTTACAACAAAACAAACATAAACACTTCTGCACTAAGAGTTCCATCTATATATAGAAAAAGAGTTGAATATTTTATAGCTTTCCCTTACAAATGAGAAAGATTGTCTATACCGGCTGTATGGGGTGGTGTTGTGCAGGCGGATGATGGGTCATTGCGCGGATAGTGTGTGGCGCGTGCTGCGAGTGCTGGGCGTGCTGAGCGCGAGGCGGCGCGTGGTGTTGATGCACGCCGAGCGCGCCCAGCCCACCCAGCGACTGCCCGTGAGCACCCGTAGGGCCCATCGCCATCCTGCACAATATTACACTCTACTGAAAATCTACTATTAGTAGAAAATTTACCTATGAAATTTAAAATTAAATGTAAAAGGGTGGGGTGTGGTCACATGATATGTAAATGATAACTATAAAAAATACATTTGATACAAATCTTCAATGATTCTACATGTTTCATTCCAATTGGAATTTAGGTAAGTAAACATAAACTATATATTTCAACTAAAAGATAGGATAATTGAATTATTTCTCAGACAAAACTTCATAGATAATACAACACAGTTACCTTTATTGCACGATTCAATTAAATTCACTCATATCAGGCAGATAAACAGTAGTAAATTTAACCGCTTTTTAAACAGTCCTAAATAACCATGTAAGTCAACAAATTCAGTCATTTTAAACTGCACACAGCACAATTTCACAAATATCCAATTGTTAATATAATCTTTTCAATATAAGACAGCCAAACTGTTATTACAACTGCTTCTGGCTGACAGAGGATACAGACTGCAAGTATTCAGTACAAAGTAACGACGGTCATTATAGGACCTTCTCGTATCAAAGCCGTTGTCATATGTTCCATTCATGACCAGTTTAAGTCACAAAGGGCGCCGCAAAGGACCCTCGAGATATCAACAAATTACTCAACATTTGCATATCAATGTAGTCTGCTTAAATCCCAAATAAAACATAACTGTATTATTTTATAGTGTCAAAAGTGGTTACTCTGGTATACCTGGTATTCTTATAAGAAATGCAATATGATCTTATTGTAAGTTACATTTAAAAAGATTTTAAACTCAAGAAAAAATACCACAAAATGAAGGAACCAGATTTTTTTAACATTTCACAGAAAAAAATCCACATTTCTGACTTATGTAATGGTCTTCCTGAATACCACAATATTTTCACATGAAAGTAACAGGCGAGTTGGTTATTGGAAGCAACATGTTGAATCATGTCTTACATTTATTATAGGTTCAACAAAACTTAAATGAAGATTTTATTTGGGACTTTTCTAAGTGGCAATATTTTTAAGTGCTTCATTCTTTACACACCAGTAAGAATCTCAAGGTGTTAAATCTTAAAAATTAAGTTTTAAAACCTTTATGGGCTTCATTGTTTAAAATGCACATCACAAAAAATATCTAGGTATACATAACGATATAATCCAATTGGGTTTCACTGCAATTCCAAAAGAAATTAACTAACAGGCTTCGAAATAAACATGGTATGAAGTTAAACTTAGGAATAAACAGAGTATAGACAAATATTAGTACAAATTTTGCTTAAACTTAGGTTATTCCTAAGTTTAACTTTTTCCATGTTTATTTGTAAAACTGTAAATGTTTATTGAGTTTACATTTGTATTTCATATTTAGAAACTACTTATTCTTGTTGAAGCACAATAAAGACTTAACTTTACTTGACTTCTGTTTAACACTACTTTTGAAAACTTGATCTATAGATTCAACAAAAGTTAGTTATTTATGGTTGAAACTAGATTTAATAGTAGCTAATATGAACTTGTCTCAATTATAAATTCTATAAGTTTCTTTGAGTTTTATTTTTCTTTATTATTACTTGTATATCAAAATAACATAGAATTTAGTCAGTAAGCAACTTATAAATGTTGACAAACGCTATATATAGCTACTGCTCCGATAAATTAGGTTTTGATTCATTGCCAAACCACAAAATACAAAATTTCTCATAATCACCATAATATGACTGTAGCTATTTACAGTAACTTCATTAGTATAATTAAAACTTATGCAAAAATAGCACGAAACAGGAATAAAAAGGTGAAAGTTTTAATTATAAAAAGCTGTGCACTGTACATTTTCTATGTAGATAAATTTTAGTTAGATGACATTGTAATAAGTAATTTGACACACTTTTAACACATCGTTTTTAGGAAAAATGTTTATAATTCGATATAAAGAAGTGACAAGTTATGATGACATACTTAAAACTAAAATCACAAACAATTTCAAAACTCATAAGTGATTTAAGGAATTAGGTGTTACTTGCGACGTGGTTAAGACGTATTTCGTGACTATTTAATAGTAAGTGATAAAATTTGTTATCTAATACAATAAATAGCAAATAAAATAGAAAAAGCTGAACGTTACCTAGTTAAAGTTACGTGCCTGTTCTCCCTGTGCATTTGATGGGGCGGCATTTGATGATGCGCGGGCATAGCCTGGTGGCCCGCGAGGTGCTGTGGTGGGTGGCCCGACATCGGCTGATGATGCATGTTCGGGTGATGCATCATCGCGAATCAGTCTTCATCAAAAACAAACGAGATCAACAAATACCGCTACGCATTGAATCATATTCAAACACAATAACACATAACCGCCTTACCGTTGTTTATCTTATAAAGATTATAGTTTTTTCGGCTATACGTAAAACATAAATCCGCCCTCAAAAAGCCGATATTATTTTATTTGGCAAACAGTAAAGAAAATCGTTTCGTTCAACATGCGGCCATGTTAGAAATGTTGCCCGATGCCAAATTTTGATTGTGCAAAAATTGTTTTAATGTTGCTAACTTTTATTTCAAAATAAATACTGTTTTCTGTGCTTTCAACTTTTCGCGTTAAATTTATTAATGTTGAAGCATTTCACTGAACTCTGTTACAGTGATCTATGGGTTCATTGCGAAAAGATGGATGTTTGTTATAGTTTGTAGCCTAAATGGATCTCTATAAAATTGGGCATAGATGTAGTGGACAGCTTGAAAGAATATGCATTCTACCTACTTTTTTTCTTTAATTTCAAGTGGACGGAGTTGGGGGCAAAAGCTAGTTATTTAAAATCTGGCTATCGTTTTATGCAACTTAGAATCTCACTTTCAAAGCGTCGAAACAAGTATTATCATTCGCCCACTACCTTGCCTTTTATTATTTAATTATTGGAAAATAATTAGAAGAGAGAGAAAGGAAAGCAGCATAATTTATCATTAAAACGAAATTCTATAAATCTCATTCAAAACGTTTATTATTCTTACAAATCAGTTTGACATATATAAAGAAAAACAACGGACATAAAATGAAAATAATCCTCCTCGTTGTTTATCTGCACATCAGTTAAATTCGAATACATTTGTTCAGCTTCTTGCAATGAATCATCCAGACTCTCAGCGCTATCCCTGGTTGAGTCCGCCCAGGACACGCGCTTAGAAATTCTGGAATTATCCTTCTTTTTGTCTGACGTCGGAGTGGAATGCGAGACGGGAGAAGGCGGTTCCTTTGTTGGAGTTCTAGCGCATTTATCTAAGTAGTGTTTCCGTAAAATGTACTCGCGCATAGAGTCATGTGAGGGTCGCTTTGGAGGTGGCGGCGGGGGCAGGGATCTATCATCTTCGTCACACAGGTTTCTTTCCTTCCTTGCTTCTTCAATTCTCCTGATTTCTTCTTCGTCCGGCGGCAGCGGCCACGCGCCTAGCTTGTTACGCACGAGGTGGGGCCGTGTGTGCGCCGCGCAGAGTATGCGCTTGCGCACGAAGTCGTGGAACATCGTCAATTCCGATGCCAATTCCCGTCGCACTAATTGTTTGTGGCGAGATGGAACACTACTATCGCGTACTGCTAATAAAGCCTGCGAACAAAAAGGATTTATTAAACTAATTAAACTTTACATCATAAACTCCAGACTTGTTTGGGGGTTTTTCTTTATTTATTTTTTTATGATAAGATGGCAAACGACCAAGGATCCCCTAAATCCGTCGAAATGGCAAAGTGACCGCTACTCATAAATATCAGCAATTGCAGATGCGTTGCCTACTTTTAATTGACAGAGGAGAAGCTCACCGCCGTCGTATCCACTTCTCCTCCCCATCCTTTTATGTTAAGAAAAAGGGTGGAAAGAACTAAAATTAGGCTTAGTTGCTTGTTATGTGAGGACATTTACGCTATTCTAGGTTATCATCGGTCGATGGGCATGATGTTGGGCAGTGACCTGCGAGGCGAGCAGCGCGGTGGCGGCCTCCAGCGCGGCGGCGGCGAGGCGCTCGTCGAGGTGCGGCGGCGCGCTGGCGGCGGAGGAGGCGGAGGTGACGGAGTCAGCGCGCGCGGCGCGGCGCTCGCCCGGGCTGCACGAGCACGCGCGCCGCCGCCCGCGCGGAGACCGCGACCCGCTGCCCTCCTCGCCGTGGTACGCCTGCAGATAACATAACATTACTATCATGAAATATACGAATACATGAAAACAGACAATATACTGCCACCACTGATCTGTATAAATGGATAAGCTATTGTTTGGAAATTACAGCTTTTGCATCGCTCCAACTTATAGACGCCTCTTGAAGTTAGTTGTAGACCTTTACTGCCGCTACCAGTCTGTCAGCACTAAAATACGACATCTTGTAGCCTGTCCATTTATAGAAATCAGAAACTGCCGCAAGCGGATTATTTATTGTACTTTCTTAGTAACCACCTTGAACTATCATTACTCACATGATTCAATGATCGCGTTATTAGACATATCGCAGACAATATTGTGCCGAAAGTTAACTGCGGGAATGGATCGTATGAGATCTTGGGCGCGCCGAAGTGCAGCTCGACCAGGGGTTGCCAACGCTCCAGGTCGAGACCAGGATCCGCTAACAGCGACAGCAGGTCTGGACTGAAGGCCAGGAGACAGAGGGTAGCCATGTGGAGAATCTCGAGGGTTCTGTCGGTGACAAAATGAATTAGTAAAACAGTTTTCTCAGTCAGAGATCAATCGAAAAACTATTGGTTGGAAGGCTTTGTCCGTGTGTATAGTTCCGACCTGTGTAATACGGGCTGCGTGTGGCTGGCGGGCTGCTCGTCCGGCGGCTGCGCGTCAGAGGCGCGTCGCGTCCGCAGCATCAGCGTCACACACTGGTACACGCACGCGCTGATACTGCGCTGTAACACATGTTAAAATATATATTCTCCTGCCGAGAGATCCATACCTTTAAAGGTAGCAACATTTTCGTGAATGGATCCACTTTGTTTTCTAACTTGAAGATTATCAGTCAAAGGTAACATGTAAACAACCTAATATTAAAATAAAATCGATTGCACTATTTATAACCCCGGTCACAAATTTGCAACGTCAGATATTTAAGGGTTAAACATAAATCACATTTAAACTTACCATAATTCCGATCAAAGAATTGATATTCTGTAGACGCCAAGTAGATTCATATTTAACTAACTGAACCACTAGGTTTAGTGTGGAGGCGCACAGATTGAGGGCGTCGATGCTGTACACCTGCCGCGGCAGCAGCACCGCCTCCACCAGGTGCTCCAGATGTACTCCCATAAACGTGATCGCATCGCTCACGAAGAACTGGCCGTGCTTCATCACCATCATGGATATGAAATCTAAACTGTAAGCGTACACCCGCCACCACTCGTGCGGTTTCCATGACGACGCGTTCCCGTTCTCAAACTTGGGCGGCAGCAGCTGCAGCCATAGGAATTGATCTACGTCACTCATCAGTAAATCCTTATTGAACGGCCCGCGGGCGTACGCGGTCAGACATCGCAGCGCGGCCAGCGACGTGTAATAGTGGCGACGGTTCTGCAGACAAGATTGCAAGCAGCACAGCAGTTTGTTGATGAACTTCGTCGACTGAAACCACTGAGACAGACCCGAGTACAAGTCGTACAAGTCCAAACACTGCTCCAACATCGCCAGAGACAGAACAACAGGCGGTACTTCCTCTTTCCCGTTTGCGTCTTGAACTGGCCCGGTTTTTTCGCTTACGTTATCGATCAACTTCTCCAATTCAATACTGTTTATATGTGTGACAGATCTTATAATACTCTGAGCGGTCATACTGTTAGCTTTGATCTCGTAGTCCAAGCTGCTGATGGCGACTGTGCCCATTGATAGTATGGCGCGTATCGCCCGCAGATGGAGGCACTCGTAGACCGTCGCAGTATTAGAAAGAAGATTATCGATTTGTTTCGCACTGCATTTTCTATTTTCGAAACAATCGTCCTTCCAATTAGCTAACAATATGACGTGTAGTTCCGCGAGGATCACGACCAGGCGACCGTCTTTCAAGTCTTCCAATTCTGTCAGTAACGCGTTCATGCAGGGCGCAACCATTTTCGCCTTATGAGCGATATTCAAGCTTATCGGAAGGCATTTGCATATTATTGTCATAAAGTCCTTCCAGGAAGTTAACAAGCCCAACCAAACCGGCACTTGGTCGACGATCTCGTCTTCGTTTCTACCGTAGAAGGAAAATATAAAATCAATCCATTTATCTAAATGATCTTTGTTCGTATCGAAGAACTGTTCGAGTACAGCTTTCAAATTAGGCTCAATTTTTCCCCTTGAAAAGAACAGCTCGATTCCGAGGATATTAAATATTTGACTGTAAGTTTTCAGACCGGGTTGTATTTCGCTGAAAAGAGGACTAGTCATATATTCCCAGAAATTATCATTTTCACGTAATTTTTTGACTAGTATTTGCATATTGTTCTTCCATAGCGCGTGGAAAAGTTCCAATATGCAGGCTAATATTGGACTGTGTAATAACTTCGCGTCCTGTAACAAAGAAATTTACTTTTAAATTAGACATTTATTTAATAGGATAATGGATACAGTAAAATTAGAAATCTTTACCGTTTTAACAGTCAAAAGATAATCGGCCATAAATCCCAGCATTCCTTCGAAGCTGTCTTCATCACTATTTTCATCACCATTTTTTTCTTTATCTTTCTCAACTGCCTTTGCCTTTTCATGGTTCATCATGAAGAATGCCTCCGTGAGACCTGGCTGGGTGCCAATGCAAGTGGCAACAAATTCCAGTATGGCTTTTTTCAATTCAAGAGTTTCATAAGGGTCACGAAGACGGTCCAAGAATATAACTCTCACTTGGTAAGCTGTCATATCTAACGAAGCAAATAAAGACATTTGAAAACCCTGAAACAAAACAATAATAAAATTTTCAATCCAAACATTCACACTTAATGGGGGATGCTGTTATATAAAAAACTTGTTTTCCATTTATAGCCATTCACAGAGAAATTTACAAGAATTGGCCATACATAAAAGTGTAATATATGGTGTTTAATGTAGGTAGGTTTGTATAACCTACCGTCAAATGACTTATAATAAATCAGTCCCAAACCAACCGCCGTTTCATTACGACCTATACATTACAACTGGCGACGAGGATTTTTTTTATTGCGTAAAAAGTGCAATGGAAGCGTTTAAAAGTCACGAGAGGGCGTGAATTAGTGTGCGCATATATCATTTCGCGAGAAATTTTATTGGACGCGGAACCTACGCGTAACCACAAAATGAAACGGCGGTTGGTTTGGGACTGATTTATTATAAGTCATTTGACGGTAGGTTATACAAACCTACCTACATTAAACACCATATATTACAAAAAGAAATATCAATGTCTTATTTTTAACACAAGGTGGCAAACAAGTAAGCGGCCATTTGAATACACCGAAGTGACCGCTGCCCATAAACATTTGTCTTTAAAACTAATTAGCTGTTGCAAAAAAATGTGTTGCTGTTAAAAAAAAATAGCCTATGTTACTCAGAGATAATGTAACTTTTAATAAGTGAAAGAATATTTTAAATCAATTCAGTATTTTTTGAGTTACATCAATACATACACAAATAAAAATCTTCCCTCTATAAAGAGGGAATCTCCTCTATAAATTCTCTCCTAATATAAATTAGTATAAATGAAATACACTGCAAATACGTACATCAGCAAATTTCTTCAGTATCCGGCAGCTCAGTACAGAGAGACTCTTATTGAAAGCATGGTTGATATAGCTGGCTATCCTCGGCACCACCTTCAGCATGTCCTTCTGTTTGTTCTGTGCGAAGATGAGCTTCTCCAGCGGAGTGACTTCCCCTGCTTCAACCACGCTGCTCTTCTGACGCAGGGAGAACATCACAATAGCAAAGCACTTCAGCATTGAAGATATATACTGAGACCCTATACCTGAGATCCAGTTTGTATCGTCCCGTAAAGTACGTTCTAGTTGTTCGTTGCCTACGAATTATACAATTTTCTATTAAATAAAAGCCATAGTTATAAATGTTGAATGTGTTGGTTTTACTATGAAGTATAAGGAAAAAATGGGAAGGGAAAGTGGATTTAGCGACGAAAGGGATGCATAAGTGAAAAATATCGCCTACCCAGTAGTACTCATTTGTAAGTTCGCTATTTTGGCAAATTCCAGTGGTCAAATGCTTATGTCATATTAAAAAGTAGTTGCTAACTAACAATTAAAATCAAAGTATTTGTAGTAAAATATACATAATGTCCGGTTTACAACTAATTTAAACTCTATGTAAATTATTAGTACACCAAAAAAATTAAAATTTTGAAAATGATAACTTTAGTTTGCAAAAATTCGAAAAAACTAGCAACAAAAACTCACCAACAGAGATAATCTTCAACACTTCCAGCGCATTTTCCATATACAGAAAACTGTATATACAAGTTTTCTTCACTAGTGCCATTGTGTCATTTGTTTTGGGCATTTCCAGTATTGATGTGAGGAAATTGGTGCAGCGCTGCAGCAGGGAGCGGCGCTGGGCGGCGCAGCTATAGCGCCAGCCGCAGATGTTCGGGAACACCTCGCGCAGCACCAGCATCAGACCAGCCAGGATTATCTCTGACGTTATACCCTCATCGGATGAGAACTGAAATTTTGCTTAAAATTAGCATGTGCAAGGCCCTGGTGTATTGTGACGTCACAACTAATTAAAGTTACTAAAATTGACACAGCTGTTTGTTTTAAAATCTAAAATTTAAAAAGGTTTAAACCACATAAATTACCTCAAGGAATTCAGTGAGCATGTCAATATAAGCGGCTAAGAATTTATATGAGCCACTCGGTTGTTCGAGGATCACCAAGTATGAACCAACGGCTGCTGAATCTAGAGATGCGCCATTAGCATACTCTATGTGAGACAACTGCTGGTTTAGGACTCTTGGCAGTAACCCAGTGTTTATTAACCTAAAAAAATTACAATCAGTAAATTATTACCGACTAGCTATTGCTCGCGACGTCGTCCACGTGATATTAAAAAACAGAATATAGCCTATGAGTACAGTGATAACATAGCTTTTATAATTCTGAACGAGTTTTTGAAATCGGCTTGGTCGTTTTTGAGTTATTGTAATACATATAAAAATACGAATCTTTTCACTTTATAATACTAGTAAATTAATAATATTGGTATATTTAAAATCATACCTTTTATGTATATCCTTCGGAAACAATTTAATTAACACAGTACACACATTGAGGCATTCCACCAACAGTGGCAGAGGTGGTTGTTCAGCTCTCATAAACCTCAGTAACACGTCAAACACACCTTCTATTGAACTCACAAAAATCTTTGGGATCTCTTTTGTTTCTACTATATATTTCAAAACACCTTTTAGTACTTTTGTGCCTTCGTAAACTCTCTCCAAGGATACATTATTATTATGTTGATGGTGCTGTTTCCGATCTAATACTTTCTCAATTTCATTATTAAACACTGTCCAGTAAGAATATGGGGTTCTGAAATGTATCATTGTTCCCTCTTTTCTCTCCATTACACATGCTTTTGATCCCATCTCAATACGGTAAGAAGGATCTCCGAGAGGGTAATATTCACGGCCAATGACAGCATCGTCATCTTGAAATGACATAATAGGTACTGCATTGGGGTTATAAATTTCTGTATATACTGGCAAGTTTTTAAGTTCAGCTAGTAACTGAAAATAATATTGCCTACTTAATTAAACTTTTCAATAATATTCATATTAAAAATGGAAGTTTTAATACCATATTAATTAAAATCAGCACAACACTAATAATTAGCTAAAACTGTGCAAAACTAAAAAAGTATCTTGCCTAAATTATAAACAAACCTACTTAGACTTGTCTACAAGTATCATAAGATAATTCCTCATTTAAAAGAATATGTACTTACATTTCTAGCACTCGAGTTACCAGCTTGTGCCAATCCATCAGATAATACTGACAATGCATTAAAATTAAATGGAAAATACTCCAACGCCGTATTCCATAATGACACAACCCCAAAGTCTTCATCTTTCTGACGCAATTGCCAAAACTCTTCTGCAATATCTGGGGAGTTGAGGAGTTCAGAACATAGCTGCATTATACCAGGCTGCATACTTAATGTACCATCACCATCAAATTTATCACAAAGATTGTTCAATAATCTAAATACACGGTTTCTTGCTATTTCGGCACATTTTGATTTATCCTGAAATATTTAAAGTCATATTTTAAATACACAAATGCAAGTTTTGCATCCTATTGAAGTATATATATTGAAAAAGTGACTTACCGTAAACACCGAACTATTCAACATCTGGAGTAAAAATTCAAATACTCTCATTCTGAGTGCTGTTGCACCGTAATGCTGGTATTGAGTCTCAAATAATTTACTGTGATTTTCACTCTGAAAAAATAAAAATTCATGTTACGATCACAAAAAAGGTAGGTAATATGTATGGATGGATGGATGTTTGTTACTTTGTAATCAGATGTAAAACATTGTCATCAAGAATGCATAGACTACTCACTTCCATTTACACAAAGGATAAAGTTGTAGGAAAAGACTAGTCTCAGAAAAATTATATTGTACAAGTACATAATATATTGATATTAATATGTACCTTTAGAGTCAACAGCATCCAAGTAAGGAGCATAACACTATGTTCCTGAGACAATTCAAGTTTGGTCAGCTCACATTCCACTGCACTTTTAGTTGCATCTAGCCAGTTGGAGACATTATTTCTGGAAGGGATAACTTGATTGCATCAAATAGCTCTTAGAACTTATAAAAATATTTATATATTCAATGTAAATAAATTTAGAAAAACCTTACATCTTTTCATGATCACATATAACCATAAATATACAAGCTTCCAAATATGTTATCCTAAGACAAGCCTCTCTGCATCTGCCTTCTAACAACTCATGATAATTTTGATTCTTGCCAAAATTATGTCTTCTGAACAACTTCAACATATCAATAAACTGAACCTCTGTATATACTTCTTCATTTCCGATTAACAACAATATTTGTAAAATAGCTTGTTGTTCTCTTATATTTGATTCTGCCCATTCTTGTTGAATAGTATCACTCCCAAATTCACCCTGGATCTTTCTCAACGGTGCTACTTCTAATAAAACTTTTTCAAACTGCTTAATCAAAGAGGTTTTTAAATTTTGTATACCAATATCATTGATTATTTTTGTAAACTGTTCATTGTATTTATGATTCTTATCCAATCTGAATTGAATTATGTATTGCAATAATTTTAGCAGATACAATCTCTCTGCGTAGTAAAATTCCCAGACTTTTGGTGAGAGAAATGTTGGTCTGGTGTCAACAAATGCCACATTTTTTAGAGCATTTTCAGGTGTCCCATATGATATATCACACAGATAGTGTTTTATTATTTCCCATATTTGGAAGCAGTTAACATCCTAAAAGTCAAAGAACAGGAATAAGTAAATTAAGAGAGATTAAAAAATGCATATCTATAGAATTGAATGGGAAGGATTTTTTTTTTACATTTGCTTTGTATTAAATTGTATGTAATACTTCGTTACTAACTTACCATATAGTTTTGTAAAGTTTGTGCAACACTAAGTAGTTTTGTTTGATCCGGATATTTTGATTGAAGACTTGCAAATGCATCTGCTTCTTTAGGTTTATAGCTAATCAGGCCATTCTTAAGACCTTCAACCACCTCTTTTGTGTATATTTTCTCTATTTCTTCTTTTGTAAGAAATTGGGATGTTGTCCAACGCCATAACCGTTTCCAGTAGCTAAAAATATTGCAATAATTAATACCCGTAGCCAGTGAAATATAAAAATGCTTGCCAAATAACTTTACATACATTGTATTATTAGTCGCCATTGTTCATATAAAAAGTAAAAGCGTTGATTACAACTTCTATTTGCAGATATTTACCGCCACATTTTAAGGTTACAAACACAATTTGTCAACTGTCATTGAATTGATTTCGAGTTTTTGACAGTTTGATCGGACAGCGGTCTATTTTACGCAAAAGTAATGGTTGTAAGTCGAAATAGTATGGTTTTCAATTATTTACATAATCTGTGTGAAACAACTTTATTTCACAGATGACATTGACATTTTTTGACCGACACGACATTTAGCTGTCACGCAGCTGTCAGTGTTGATAAGGGACGGACGCCGGCAAACGCTTCGTGTTTGAGATTCCGTTTAACTACCACATGTCACCAATAACATCAGTTTTGTACATATAGTTGTATGATAAAGATAAGTGTGTAGTGTTCTTTTTGTTGTTTAATTTTAGAACAGTGTTTGCCATGCCTCCCGCGGCTACTGCTCTTAAACCTCAACCTGATGATGACCCCATCGGTATTAGGGCAGTCCTTTTGGGACCCCCAGGATCAGGCAAAGGAACTCAGGTAATCAACATCTTTCTAATATGTATAAATAGTAGTATAAAATAGTTTTGACAGTTTTGATTGTTGAGCAGCAACATTTTAATTTTCAAGGCAAGCATATAATAGCAATTTGATATTTACCTTTAGTAGTTATGTAACTATTAGATAATTACGTTTTAAGTTTGATATCTCCAAATTATATAAACAAGGCTGATGCATAAGATATGGCTGTATTACATCTACTGTAGTATTTCTTTTACTGTGATTTTTTTTATTTGTAATCTCTTTATAATTTCAATTAGTTAATAACATGGATGTCAACAAAATAAGAAAATAATTCATCATTATTAATTTAGTTTTCTTTGCAATTGAAATATAGGACTTTGAACCTTATGTCATTCAAATACAAAGGTTTAAGATTTCAAGATTTTGACAGTAATTTCTCTTAGCTTTAAAGCCACAAAATTTTAAAAGCTGCATTTTTGGAAACAATTGTTACACAAATTATTATTATTATTTTGGGTGACACACTAGCAGCTAGTTAGCTGATGCATGTGTGTTGTATAGCTCGGAGAATTTATGATTGTCTAATCTATTTTGCATGATTATTTGCAATTGTTGTTGTTTATTAACAAACAAAATATTTTGCAGGCTCCCCGTCTAAAAGAAAAGTATTGTGTATGTCATTTATCAACGGGAGACATGTTACGGGCCGAAGTATCATCAGGATCGGACCTCGGCCGACGTCTGAAGAAAGTGATGGATGAGGGAAAACTTGTATCTGATGAGATGGTTGTTGACATGATTGATAAGAATCTGGACCAGCCTGAGTGTAAAAATGGATTCCTACTTGATGGCTTTCCAAGAACTGTGCTGCAAGCTGAGAAGGTATGGCATATGTACTTGAACAATGACTAATCTTACTAATATTATAGATGGATGGGTGTTACTTACTATGTGTCTCTAGAGTGGCTCAATGGAACTTCCTGAAATAGATGTAGAATCTGGCATGGGAGATCACAAGCTATGTCTTGGTGGAATATTTTTCTTAAGATTGCAAGCATATGTCAAAGTCATAAGGGACACCTGGCAGTTTAACATTGTCAATCATTAGTAACTAAACTAAAACTTAAATCTGTTACTACTTGAATTAGATTTGCATATATTTGTAATTACAAATTACAAAAATGTTATAATTTTTTTACAGTTAGATGACTTGCTGAGTAAAAGAAAAACTCAACTTGATGCTGTAATCGAGTTTGGAATCCAGGATAGTCTTCTCGTTCGTCGGATCACCGGGAGACTGATTCATCCATCAAGTGGACGCAGTTACCATGAAGAATTCCATCCTCCGAAAAAAGCGATGACTGATGACGTTACAGGGGAACCCCTGATTAGACGTTCTGATGACAATGTGGACGCTTTGAAGAAACGTCTAGCAACTTATAATGCTCAGACTGTGCCTCTTGTAGACTATTACATGCGGAAAGGTCTACACTGGAGGGTAGATGCGGCTAAACCGGCCGAGGAAGTTTTTAGTAGAATTGATAATATCTTCAAGCGTCGCATCTTCAGCAGGGAGCGAGCAGCTCTGTGAGAATATAAGTGAATTTTGTACAAATCTTAAATTTCACTATGTGGTTGGGTTCATGATTGTGTTATAGTATTTTCAGACTAATTATATATTTAAATATATAACTCTGTACCTCTACCTATTTTATAGACTATTTCTTACATAAATACAGTACAATGCGATCAATTGATATGTCCTTTTTTTACTTTTTTATTTCTTATTCCTACAGATTCTTGATCCGTACTCTTTTTTGCATAGTTTGTTTTTCTTTTTTTTGCGTTATCCTTATAAGTTCCTTTTTTTTTCATAAATACAATTATACTATGACTAAACAAAATTTTTACTTATACTAGCTAACGTCTTTCATTTAAAAAGCTCTAGTTACTCATATTGTTGATAAAAATAACCATCGTAAGTTTAATAAGACTATGATAATGAAATGTGTGAAAATAAAACAAGAATATTATTTAATGTATTTATTATTATCAAGAGCACATAGATAGAAGAAGGACACAGGTTGTAGAGCAGATATCCATTTTAAGCTCGAGTAAGGCAAATTCATACACAATACATTCAATAAAACTTTACAATTTATTAAAGCGGATGTCTGTCTTGTTGAAACCATACGAAATATATCAGCCAAATACATATCCTGTAACCTTTAAAGATTCTTAACATTCCTTTAATTATTCTTTATCTATAATTTAACACTAATGGTCTTAAAGAAGTTTAGTATTCACTATTTACACTCTATAATTCAGAAGACAGGGTTGCCAAACCTACACAAAATTAAAATACGTTTCGCAATTATTGTATAGTTTCAATTAAGCTCTTCATAGGGAATTATCATTAGGTGATGATCCTACGTAAATTATTAATTGGTTTCCCATACTCTAGGGAACCATGAAAATAGGATGTCTAACCAACTGTTTATATACCTGTTTAAAATTCTAGTATAAATACGTTTGAATTATGTCTTTATTAATTTATCTACTATTGGCAACCCCAAATGACACTGGCATCCAATAAAACAGATATCAATATCAACTTCCGAAACTCGAGACATGTTTTCATCTCTCTCTTCCATTAAAAAGACAGAGATAATAAATGCTTTCTCACGATTATCCTATGTAAACATTTAGTGTACAGAGATTATATGGGCCTTTTTGAATACGGGTGTCTATTGGCCATTTTCATCACCAATTCTTTAAATTTTGAGGCTACCGTAAGCACGCCTAAGAACATTTTAGGTTCTAGTTGGTGAAAAAGGGCTTAAGTTATAGAAACAATAAATTAATGGGTCAAAAAGGTTTCTCACACAAACTTTTAAATATATGCACTATAAAATACATCACTAAGATTTTCACAGCCCTATATCATAATTTGAACTTTTTAATAATTATCTATTTAAGATTTCCAATTGATTACATTATTGTTAGAGTTCCTATTGTTATATTCCTTTACTATACACTAAGTATCTATGTATTTTTGTATTTCAATAGCTACAATTCATTTAAATCAAAAGTACTACAACATTATAAAGTTATTCTCTTATCATGTGCGTTATATTTGCTATTACTTTTCTAACTTTCATTGTATATTTACTCAGTTATTTTTTTTACTTTTAATAATAATGTAGTAAGTGCTGAAAAAAACACATTTGCTTATATATTACGTTTAAAAACTTCTACACAAATACTACTTTTCGCTAACAATTAATTACCTCTACTATAAAGCTTAATTAATCTAAACTGAATTATTTTCATACTTCTAGGATATAAGTATTCTATAACTTTTTGTTTTATCAAATTTTTCAAAAATCGAAAAGCAACAATAATTTAAAAAAATAAAAATCAAGCAAAAAAAGGCCATCTATTTGAGTAAACTACATCACAAGAAAATATTGACTTGTTAAAAATATTTTTCCTTTCAAGATTAGTGGAAAGCAAATTTTCAGCAAGAACTTAAAAAAATATTAATGTGTATTCGAAGTTCAAAAAATACAGATGAGGTGAGGTAAAATAAAACACAATAAGAATGGGACATCTGTGTATTTGCGGTCAGTCTGTTGACTTGACATTTTTTGTATGAAATAATTTTATATATTTTTTTTTACATAGAAACAGGTACGATGAGACGATAAGCATTTCATGATCAAATATAGACACGTTGACAAAAGGCGATGATCGCATGCTAGTGCTATGTTTTGAGGTACAAAACTACAAATAAAAGTTACAAAGATGTAAAGTAAAACACACCGACTAGTATAGAATTAATACTTAAGATATGCATTAGAGAATATGTGCTGGACACGCAATCAATTGATTATTTATATTTTATCCTCACAATCACACTAATTTTCGTTTAATAATAAATCTTTTAATTCATAGATAAAAAGCTCTCACAAATATGATAATGATTTGATATGAATTAAGACGATGTAATACGAATCATGATTTGCTAACACAGACTATACAGGCACAGACAAAACACAAACATATGGTGACCATAAACAAATAAAACATGCGGATCTGTCATGGAGAACTTATACTAAAGAGTTAAAAAAACAACTAGCTTCCAAATAAATAACTAGAATTAATTAAAGAGAAATATTTACATGAAAAAGAAACACGAATCCATTACGGCTGTTTAACAACTCCTATGCCACTAAATATAGCTTTGGATTTGATTAATCATAACGTTAACGGACTAAACCTAACACTACTTTACAATAAAGCTTCATCAGAACATTTACATACATTAACAATAATTTGTTTTACTGTAAATAGTTCGACATTAACAATAACAAGTGGGGTGGCAGAGCTTCCATTACGTCTACTAAAAAAAATCTGTATACTTGTGGTATAGAAAAATGTATACACACTTTTAGTACAATACATGTATCCAAACAGATATAAGTATGGTATATTCAAATATTTAACAAAGACTATCACAAATTCCTAAGATTTATTTTTATTTTCGAAATAAGAAACAAATGTCAAACGCATCATCAATTACAACACAACGAACGTCGAACTAAAGTCTAACAATTTTGAAGAAATTAATCTAAAGTAAGTTGTACAGCACGATACGGCGACGCGACGTGAGCGAAACGTGCGTGAGTGACGTCAGCTAGTGGTCGTGCAGGCGGTCGTGTGAGCGGCTGGATGAGCGCGACGTCTTGCGCTGGTCCAGGTACGCGGCCGGCGCCCAGCCCTCACCCTGCCCGCCTTTAGTACCATACCCATTATTTAATCTGTGCTCACCTCACTTCGTCAAGGACATTATTTAATCTTTGAGATTCTAATTGAATGTTACAATTATCAAAGAATCAAAACGTGTTGCAAATCTCAGGAAAATTAAAATGGAAAATATTAGTTGACCACATTTTAAGACACATGGTCATGGATATAATGTGAAGTTTACACTTTGCCAGTACAGTAAGACAGTTGGGACGGCCAGTCATAGATTATATGGACACACCGGCGTGATAAAATCCGACAAATCGCCAGTTAGCAATAACAGTCCAGTTATTAAAAGCTACTGACCAACTGTACTGGCCAAGTGTGAACCGTGTTTTAATAAATATTGAACACATACCCGCGAGCCGCACGTACCACCAGCCGGCGCAGCCGACCTTGAGTAGCTCGGCGTGCTGGCCCTCGCGTAGCGACACCTCGCTCGCGCCCACCGCACTGTACTCCGATAACGCCACCAGCAAGCACCCCACCGCCTGACCACACACACTGCTCATTTAAATCATTATTTGATGCTTTCAATCATTAAACAGTCTTCATTAGCAATTGTCATCGGTAAGTGAAAATATTCATAGTTATTTTTGTTTTCAATCAAGTCTCTCCACTGCAAAAGTTACAAAGTGATACTTATATCTCAAACTTATTTTATGCTACTCGAAATCCAGAAATACAAGTGAACTAGTCTATTTTAAATAAAAAATAATGCGTTTCATCGTTTTAAAAATTGGCTTGTTAGAATAAATCACACAAACGAAACTCATTTGATGTCAATTAACGTAAGATACACTTTAAAGGTTACTAGAATTTGTCGGCATATTGTTAGAGCTGGAGGCGAGGTTATTTTGTTAACTGTAACTAAGTATTCACACACGTAGCACACCATATACATGCAAGCTTCCACATTGTTAATTAAAGCATGTTAGAGACAGCGCAGTTACACATCGATGTATGCGGCAATCAATTTTGCACATATAAATTACAAAAGAATATACTTACAGCTTTGTAGAGCGCTATCTCTGTCGCACATGTGTGACAGCGATGGCATTCTACAAAACTGCACTTAGTTTTTTTTTAAAGAGCAATGGGAAATATTTTTACCGCCCAATTTATAATGCCAAAATTCTTAAAAGTAGCGAAGGTTGTTTATATTCCTAATAGATGTGTATGGGGTAATAGAAAATGTTTCAGTGATTGACGACCAGAGATGTAGTTGTAGCCATGCATACAATGTCAAACCTAATTAATTTAGGTATGTTTGTATGTTGTTTGTAGAGAAAAAGGAGATAGTAAGAGTGAGTGAGTGAAGAGAATAAAATGCCACCTAATAACAATGTAAGAAGAGTAAATTGTATTTGTTCAGAATAAATTACGCACTTAATTGCAGAATACAAACTATTTTAACGATCGTCTTATTTTTTCCAATACACCGTATGGAAGTTTTTGTTTTAAACCTTTAAAGAGACAATGCTGAATTACTAAGTATTTTTGAAAGACAAGGTACCAAGAATATTTAATAAAATTCATGCAAAAATATCCAATATCGTCACATCAAATTAACATCAATTAAAGCAATATTTTTTTGCACATCGATAGCTGTATATTGTGTATTGATAAGGTATAACTGCGGTGCGAGACATTAATATAGCGTAATTTATAACAAAACTGAAGTCTGTAGAATTTTGGATATCTGTTATGCGATATAATAATCCATAGATAATGAAATATTTTTATCGAAGCGAAGCGCAGTCAACAAAATTGTAAAGCACACGAACAATGAGTAACATAAACAAAACATGACTTACACGATAGTTAATGTTCAGCGATTGAACTGAAATATCCACATTACTTCGAAGTCTTTGGTTACTTTTAAGCTTTGGATATCATATCAGTCTTTTCATTATATACAAAGCCAGCACTGATTTCGATCTCTAATTACATTTTATCAGTACTGGGACACGTAAAACGTGGAGTTGGCTTGCGTGGAGCCCGATACTGAAAAGAACTGTACCATTCTGTGTATGGTACCGTTGAGACCCACGGCCTCCGTCACCTGTTGAACAACACAACGTGAGCATGGCGGCCATCTTGGACGCAAGCACGACAACATGGCGCCCGGCTGTTGCATCTTACGAAAATATATTACGTTCAATTGTTTTCATGTGGCTGTTTTAATAGTTTCATTATATTTTTATAGAAACTATTAAAAAGTACTAAAAGCGATGAATTGTGACTTGCTAAATTAAATATGCAGTGATAGCGTGATTTCATATCGGTATTGGAGGTACATTTTTACTGTTTGGTGGGAATGTGACGTTAGAAAAATCAAATTCAATGCGCTAATTCTATCACTATATCTAGTCCATTTGATACACTCTCATTTTTTTCCGTTTTTTTGTTTTTTTTTTTTCTAAAGGTTAATCCGGGAAGCGTTAATGTGCATTAAGATTGCCAGCTTAGGTCATGCGCTACCCGGTGACTATTTTTTTTTTGCATTCTCAAAAATTACACTTACATTATACAAAGTGGGATTCACTTCACTCAACACTGCAAACCCAAAATTAATAGATATTAGAGAACCGTGATTAACCAGACCTTCCCAACAAAAAGCACTAAATGACGTTTGACTCTTAACATTTTGTTAGTACATTTTATTACACCGACGGACAATCAAACAATAATTTGGCAATCAGGTAATTCATATGAATTCCACCAATATTTTTCAATCAAAATTATGTTTTTTTGACATTAAATAAAACTACGAGTAATCTTTATTAAATTGTTTACGCGATGTTACGTAATATTATCTTTAAAAGCTTATACTAACATAGTTTTATTCAATGTCTTTGTAACAGAATTTAAAACCAAAACCCATTTACAAATAACACAAATAAAGTGTTTTAGATTTAAAGTTGCCAAGGAGTTTGAAGTTATCACTACATACGACGGCTTACATAAAACATTTATCCCAACATAAAACATTTATAATCTATGAGAATCTTAAACACATACATTGAAGTTAATCCCAAAAAAATTATATACATGTCATTACAAATTTTGTTTCTATAATCATATGGCATTCATTAAATATTAATTCGAGTCTTCGTTTTTTACCCGAAATATCATTTCACCTCTGCTTTAAATAGCGTTATTTTAATTTTACATCTGGCACAAATTAGTTTTCATTTTAATTTGACATCCATCTTAATGATCAAAATTGCGAGAAAATGTAGCAATATTTCTTTACATATCGGAATATTCGCCGGTTTCTAATACCGAACCGCTATTAAAACAGTGAACTGACCGGCGTGTGGTCGGTGTCGTCGTCGTCGTCGTCTGAAGGGTCGGTGGACCAGCAGGGCTCGTCGTGCGCGTCGCAGGAGGCGGCCCGCGCGCCCGCCGCGCCCCCTGTACCCACCGCGCCCACCGCACCCACCGCACCCCCCGCCGGCGCGCGCACCGCCGCCAGCGCGCCCGCCTCCCACGAGCTCGTCTGGATCAACGTCCTGACAACGGTACACAGTAAATAATCACTATACGTCACAACTTAGGAACTCTGATCTCTATGTTAGAGGTGTCTAGACCAATGTCAATCACGCTGGCCAAGTGGTACTGAAGGTGTGTCGATCGCTTTTCATTTGTTTTCCTTTATTCTGCGGATGAGCCATTCCTAAAACTGCTAAGGGCCTGTCCCACCACTGGCTGATAGAGACTCAGATAGCTTAAAATGACGTCTCTGTCAGACCAGGTAACATAATCCGATATTTCCATCACATATTTTACACGTTGGATTGCTATCAGACAATTTACAATTTCGTAGGACAGGCTCTAAATCTAATATCTGATTTGTTTTGTGGACGTATCTAAAAAGTTTTGTTTGAATTATGCTGTGAGATGAAGGTAGGTTACCTGTGCTGGGCGCTGTACTGGCGCACCTTCTCGCCCTTGAGCTCGTTGAGCTGGTCGAGCAGCACGCGCTTGATGCGCTCCACCCAGGTGCGCTTGACATCAGCTGCGGGCGCCGTCAGCGTGTGCACCTCCGCGCGCCCCTGACGCCACACCTCGAACTTGCGCGGGTCACCCTTCACTGACTCCGTCAGACCGATCTGTGCCATCTGCACACGACAACAATCACTAGTTATAATTTGCCTGCTTCTTCTTCTTTCTCTTTCTTAAAATCTAATAAGAGAGGAATCCTTCTCGTATCATATATCGTCTTTCGAAAAAAAATGTTCAATCTATATAATGTGACATATAATTAAATCAACATAAATCTACTATGAACAAAACAACGAAAATATGTTTTAGACAAGAAATTAAAGAAAGGCAAGATAAAAATACGGACAATACAACAGCACCTAGAAGGGCTGTAAGTATAAATATACCTGTAAGTCGTGTTTAAAGTGATAGGTGGCCTTGTTGTGGCTGTTCTTGGCGGCGGGTTTGCAGAAGAGCATGGCCTTCTCGTAGAGGAAGATGTGGCGGCGGCGCGGGCGCAGGCGCAGGCGGAGGTCGCGCTTGTTCTCCGACACCACTAGAAACGAGCCCTGCAGCAGCAGCTCGCCTTGTTGACTCAGGTCCACCTGCTCATAAGAAAACAACTAAAGTCCTCATACAAGAACACATAATTCAATAGACTAGTTTGTCTTCGTTAAAAAAACAATATTTGTTTCTAAGCAATACTTACCGGAACTCCAGTGATGGCAATCTGGTGCATAGAGTCATTGACGCATTTCAATACGACGAGCATACAGTCTAAAGCTTGTTGCAGACCTGCGCTCATGGAGCCGCATTCACTGTACCTTAGTAGGTCCTGAAAAGATCAGTAGTCGGAATTTTAACTCATTAATTTATATGTTCTTCTATGTTCTATTTTTTGAGTAATATATCTCTTATATGACTATTAAGACGGAGTTGTCTGATGGACCCAACCCCATTGCATTCCACGATATTCTGTCATCGGTCTATGTAGCAAGAATCTTGCCGACTCATACATGTATAATTGCAGCTTACCTTAAGCAACAACTGATATTTGGTGATCCTCTGCACAGGTTTTAGAAGATAAGCTGCGAGCGGCAGCTTGTGGCCTAGCCGCTGCTGGCAGGCCTGCAGGAAGAGGTGGGTGTCGACCAATGCCTCACGTAGCCGCTCCGAACGTGGAATGTTCTGGCAGTAGTAGCTATACAGCCGGAAGAATGTCTCCCTCTGCAGACATCACACCGGTTAGGTACAGGGACAGTTCTATTGGAGATCTCTGGACTATCTCCAGTCACACCGAGAATGGCCACCGATTTAATGAGACAAGCCTAACGTAAATCTAATTTTCCCCATGTTACAAAGACGATGTTCTATTGAATGATTTAGTTGGATACCAATCTAATTCGCAATCAATTCTTGGAAAACTGTAGTCGGTATTAACGTGTGAATTTTTACACGTAGTGTCATTAAATCCATGATTGACAATAATTACAGACATTGACTTTCATAATCTTTTTCACGCTGCAATACTAAAGAATTTGTATTGCTAATCTTATACTTATGTCCACATGAATATGCATTTCAAAGAAAGTTACACTATTCTTTGCAATAGAAAATAAACCAGTAGTGTTAAATTGTTGATATACATGAAACATCCTCACCTTTTCCACAAAGCACAGCGCAACCAATTCCGTAGCAGATATTGATTTCTCCAGGTCTTTGAGGAAGATATCCTGGTGGAATGTGAACAGCTCGTGAAGGTTGCCGAAGAGTACGTTAGCCTGCCCCGCCAGCGCAGCAGGTATGACGTGTTGGTTCTCCGGCTTCTCTATTTCTTCTTTGTAACCCTGAAATTTGGATTAACATAACATTTTATAACTTGAAATATTCTCCAACATGGAGAATATTTTTGGATAGAAAATTTGATTTTAGTTTAGATTTATTTTGTCAGGATAAGAGATGAGTTTTATTTAAACATGATAGTAGAAGTTCAAAGTTCGATAGTATATAAACGATTCAAATTATGTAATTGAAAAAAAGTGTACCGAGCTAAGAGAGGTGCACTGGCTAATTGTGTCACACCACTCTTGAAGACGTCTATCGTAGTCAGCGTAAATACTTTCTAAGCATTCACATTCGTAAGATGTATCAATATTTTTAATAAACCTTCTTTTCAAATTTTTAAAAGATTTTGTCCAATTGCGGAAAGTACTTGTCCTTCTAATCTTCTGGCTTCTTCGATCATGACTGACATATCTTTGGCAGTTTCCAATAGTATAAGGATATTTGTAGTGTGAATCTCTCATAGCTTTCAAACTTCGTTTGCGTTTACACGTAATTGTTGAATTTATACTTCGGAAGTTATTATCTTGATTGATTTTGCGGCAAATTGTTGATCCTTTCTTATGAGATACAGTCGAATAATGATCCTTAATTGTATGATTCCATTCCTTCATAATCCTTTTGTAATCATTTAGAATTTTCATTAAAATATCTTCGGTTTCCTTGCCTTCACACATTGTTCTTCTTAGTTCGGTACAGCTCGACGACTTTAATTGAGAGTCTTTCGACATGCTTGATTCAGTAGATGATTCCGGTATTGCTAATAGAACATCAGAGTCTGGACATCCGTATATAGGATTCTTAACGACTTCTGGTATGTCAATAATAGTCGGTGCAGTTGTTAAAGATTCTATCGTAGCTTCAGAGACAGTTATTATATCGGAATCAGGCAAATATGTAATTTTGTCTTCACTCTTTTGCAAGAAATCGTATCCAGGCAATGTTTTGCCGTAGTAGAAATTTCCAAAAAATGGTTCAGTGTTTACCGGTTTGATATTTTTCGGTTTGCACTTTATCCTGCTGTTTTTGTTAACATCGCTTGCAGATTTTTTACACTTTTTATTTCTGGCACGATTCTCATTTTCGAATAGAGACACTTGATTAGCGTAGTCACTGAAGAGCGTCGAAGCCGAGGCGGCCCGGGATAGGCCACGTTTATTTCGCGTGGGAGGGTTGTCGTTTTTCTTGTAGTACCAGGAATACGAGGTACCGACGCTGAGGTTCGCGGAAGATTTATGTAGGTCGTATTTTCCATATTTCATTCTAATTGTAACGCGAGCGAGGGACCGAGCCGTGCGGTGGTCGGCGAATGTGTAAAATGCATAACGTTCCGCTGCTGGAGGCATCGCTCTGTCGCGTGCGAAGTGCCCCCACAGCAGATAGTACGGTGCTAGCCCGTTTTGTCATTATTCATCGCACCCGCAATGTTTACGCGTGTGAAGCACGCACTACTTACAAACAACAGCACATATAGTTTTTAGAGCGCAAACTTGGTGATATCCGATCAATGAAGTCGATGAAGTATAACGTAACGGTTGTTTTTATGATCTGAAGACGGGCCCCTATGGGAAGATAAATATCTACCGTCGTAGTAGGAGGAAGTCGTTATAAATCTTACATTAATTAAAACAGAAGATATGACAACATTTTAAGTACAATTTACTTTTGGTACTTTCAATAAATAGTTAATCAACAATTAAAAACAAATGTGAAGAATTTACATTAATACCTCTTTAATTAAACATTTAATGTTTAGGAAAATTATCTACATAGCGAGATATAATCATTTAAATGTTAACTCAAAGCAGCAAAGTCATAACACATTAACCTGCATTTTAAACTGAGAAGAGGTCACTATCTGACAGTTAAAGAGATGATATGGTGCAAAAAACTGAAATCAAAAACCACGGTAAAATAACCGGTTTAGTGTAGGTGACTTACAGTGAGTATGGAGCCGAGTTCTTGCACATAGATGCGTTCTGTCTGCAGTAGCTCGGCTAGCACGTGTCCGCGCCGCGCTCGCCGCGCCTCCGCGTCCTCGCCGCCAGAGCTCTCTGAACCACCTGATGTTTCCATCTGGAACAACACAATTAGATTTATCAATATAGGCAGTATTAAAATCAATGTATTGTCTATTTGATGTTTTTAAAGAAAAGAGATCTTCAAATCTTAGCGAATTTCATAATGTTTGTTGTATACTGAAATATCTATAATCTTCAATTGATATTCCAAGAGGGTGCTGGCACATAAGGAATATTTTTCTGAACACCTACTTTTGAATATAAACAATTTGAGAACATAGTGGCAGTAACCATGTTAATTATTATGCCTGCAATTTGGTCCATGATCGTCAGTCAATTCCTGATAACAAAGCAATTACAGATTTCTAGTTCAAAAACCTATTGTTACAATAATTGGATTTATTGTCGATTGATAAGCTTTTTTTGGTATTCCACTTTCTTTCAAAACAAAGAACTGATAAGTTTTTGCTATTTATGACATTTCAAAATAGCGTTATCACACTTTCGTATCTGAATCTAATTTTGGAACAGCAAAAACAATGCCAATTGGAATAAAGTTTTTATACTGATAATGTCAATCATAAGCAACAATTCAAAGAAAGAGAAAAGACTGCCTTAAAACATTTTAAAATTGCGTACCAATATAAAAGTAAATAAACGAATGGTAGACGACATACTTCATTTTAATTTCTTAATTTTGCATTGTCCTTTTCTATTTTGTACCTAATATCTATGTAAAATTATATAGTTGCGTTATTAACTATATTATTAGGCTAATGTTTCTCTTTGGTTTTGCTATATCTAATTTTTTACCCAACTGATAGTTTTGCCCCATGTTCTGTTACCGTTATTATCCCGTTAAAAGATAATTTTATGTGCTACAAACACGCTAAGCTCTGTTAGGTTAATGAGATCAAACTATAAAACAGTTTTACGATTGAGTTACTATTCTTCTTAGAGTTCATCATATCAAAAGGCCTTTGTAGTTTACATTTTTCTCCAACAGTTTGACGTTAATTATACTATTTCAAACTAATTTATACTAATATTACAAATGCGAAAGTTGAGATTGATGGATGAATATTTGTTAGAGTTTGAACGGCTGAACGGATTTGGATGAAATTGTTAGGATAAGATAGTCTGCAAGAACATATAGGCTAATTGCATTTGTTTTTTTTTAATTCCGCGCAGACGGAGTCGCGTCGCGGAAAGCTAGTACACAAATATGAACATTGCAGTTTATGCAGCAAAAAAGTTATGATTATATTACACTAGCTTTGGCCCCTACACTGTCCGCATGGAATTAAAAGAAATGTAAGTAACCATCGTGTTCTTCCAAACTATACTCTACATCTATGCCAAATTTCATCGATATCTGTTCAGCAGTTAAGGCCACAAATTCTAAAAAAATATCCATCTATGGCATTTATAATAGCAAGAAGTAAGATTCTTCAGAGTATTTGGAAAGTGTAGGCACAGACAAACAATTATTAAGTTGCTTCATTAATGTTTTAAATCTAAAACTAAGAATAAATGGAAACTACATCGATAAATGAAAATCGTATAAATTAATTTAATATCAAATTAATTCAATAAAACAGTGACACAGTATACAAAAGTACTACTATCAACGCATGCATTGATAAGGACGCTCTAAATTAATTAAACAATCAGCTTGAGTTTATTCACTCCTAACAAATAAATACTCACAGGTTTGTGTTGTTCTGTAAAATCTTTCACCATTTTGTATCCAGTTTTTAGCATAATATTTATAGCATCCATTTCTATAAACGAAACTTTATTGCCAACGATCGAACGTTATCATAAAATTAAGCATTTTAACACATCAACTGTCACAATTATATGATGAGTTTGATAAATGAATGATAGGAAATCACAGAACATGTTGAGCTCCGTCAAAAACGAGCAAGAATAAGGAACTGACGGCTTGAGCTCGGTCGGGATGCGAAGGGGACGCGGGAATACGTTGACTAAGTAAAAAAAGTGGTTGCCTCCACTTCGGATCGTGTGTAGATAATGCTCTACTTTGTAATGCGAAGAAACGAGTTATAAGGGAAGTCTAGTAAAAAATTAAAGTTAAAAGAACTTGAAGAAAATATGTTACAATTTAGTACTATATGCAAACATTTTATTTATACAGATCCATCTGCATTTAATATTTATCTTACAAATATTTAATGTTTGTTAGAGCTTGTAGCCTAAAAGGCTGAACGAATCTGGATGAAATTTGGCATAGATGTAAAGGCTAGTCTGGAAGAACACATAGGCTACTTTCTTTTGTTTTTATTAATACCACGCGGACGGAGTCGCGAGCGGAATCTAGTTGAATAATAACTTGATCTATTCTAATGAATTAATGTAATAATTAAAACCGATTAAAAGTTACTATTAAATGCTTAACTAATAATAAAAAAAATCTACTTTATCAAAATTTGGTAACCACTTGTGAAATTGCGAATTTCGAAGTAGAGCATCATTCATTTTGTATATTGCATCTATAGTACAGGACGAATGTGTGCAACTTACAACCCTGAGTGTTGCTTGTGTGTGTGTGTGTGTACATGTACGTATATTTACATGTGCCTGTAGTAGTAGAGCACACCTGCCGAGTTTCGTAGTTAGACTAGCTTCATGTTTAAATTCAATGGCATTGATCTCGGCTGTCCAAGTTAAAGGCCTTTATTCTCAAACATTTTTTGTATATTTTCTTAGAAACATCTGTGCGATCCATTGTTCTGAGTACCAGGCGGGCATGAGTTGAAGCACGTGCTGCACCACTGCGATGGCTCGACCTTTTTGTAACTTTAGGTTCACAAGAATCGAGGAAAATGTACAAAAAGTTATGAAGACATACTTGAAGTAATGTTCGAAAAATATTAGTTACCTTTTTTTAAGTCAGTATTATTGGAAATTAAAGAAATATACCAAACTATTTTTAAGATAGAACAACAAAACAACTAAAACGTCAAAAATAATGACGTAAAGCTTATCAGATCAAAGAATTATAGGATTAACTAGCTCATTTACATTCCCAACGAAGCCTTTCTAGGCTTAATCATGATTATATCTTTGAAAGTCTATAAAAATAAAGAAGTAGTCTATAAAAATAAAGAACTCTTTCGAAATTTACACACTAAATAAGGTTAAATACAAATTAAATCACATTATGCCGTACTTAATCTATGACCCTTACAGACGATGCACTTGAAATGTTTGATCAAATTACCGCCTCAATTACAATTTGGCGGGTCTTTGTAATGACGTAAGATACAACGAAGCCCCTTGTTATCTCGATTAGCAACAAGCCAGTGTTTTGGCAATGATAATTTTAAGTGTATGTATAGTACGTAGCAAGATGAAAACGTTTTTTACGCAAAGCATGTAGCATTTACACCCAATAAGCCAAAAAAAGAGTTGTATTTGAAGATTCATATGTAACTTTTTTCGTCATATGGTTTTGTAGTGTGTCGACATTCTGTGACAGTTTGCATATGTCATATGTTACGTGATAAGAATTAAAATAAAACTAAAATAACATAGTTGATCACTCCTAACATTTTAGGTTATGCTAGTTTATTACGAAAACCAAATACACTAGGCAGAAAATTGGTTACGCATTTTTAATAGAGCTCATATAAATGAGGAAAGGTTTATTAAAGTGTTTGTTTTAGTACTCGTTGCAGTAGAGGGTTAAGTTGCAAGGGTTCTGAAAGCTGTGACTCTAGTGGTGGCACGTGTTAAGCCATACCTATTTGTAGTACGTCTATTCTAAGTGCGAGTCATGATAGCTAAAAACCTAGTCTGTACATACTAATGATAGTGTTATATTAGTTTTTGTACTAACTAGCTGTTCCCGTGCGGCTTCATCCGCGTGAAATTATGAAAATTTTATTTTATTGTTTACATTTGTCAAATTATCAATTGCAAATGTCAAAATGACATGACATGACAAACCTTGGCAATCTTGCTTCCTTGATGTTGGCAGCAACTTATGGTCTCTTTTCCACATTAGGGTTTTTATTCAAAATATTTACCCCCTAAGTTTTATAGCGTGCAAATATATAGCCTAAAGCGAGACGTAAGTGTAGGGCTTTTTATTAAAAAAAAGAACTATTCAAAAATATGCTATAATTGCTGACATCTTAGGCAACAAAGAAGTGTGTGTTTACGCTTTGTTATAAAAGTAAAGATTACATTTTTACATCAAGAAATAAATAAAATAAAAAAATTAAATAATTTTTATTATTAAATCAGGTAAGTTACAAATTAATCAGTTGTAGGGACTTCCTTTTAAGTAACCAATAGGCACTTGTGTTAGGAAGTCCCGCTCTTCGAGAAATAAGATCTCATTGTTTAGATTAATAGGCTATTATGATAAGTGAAAATTTTACACATCCATAAATTTATGAAGATTATTTTTAATCTGTCTTTCACTGTTTATTGTATTTTAATATGTTCAGGATAATTTAAAATAATGTAATTCCTAAAGCATCGTGTGAAATATTTTAAGCATCACCGACATCTTTACTTTGAAAGGGTTTACGTTGAGCATTTATTTAAAAAACCAGACGGAAGTGTTTCGCAAAAACAGGATATGCGCCTACCTGTTTCGTCAACACTGGCGGAAGGCATTTTTTGTTCGTTTAAAATAAGTGAAAGCAAACAGCTGCACTAGAAAAATGGTGAGAGACAGGGATTTTGTTAACACTCACTTGGTTGTATTTAAACCAGAAAAGCAACTATTATTAAATGTCAACTACGTTTTAAAGTTACATACGAGTACATTATAGTCATGTTATATAATAACTACTTATTAGTAGTAAATACTCCATTGGTGACAAATAACAACAACTAAAAAAAAACAAACAGACTAATCGAGAAACTCCTTTTTTGAATTCAGATAAAAACCAATTGCTGATCCAGTTAACGGAAAACTAGCGTTATGATGCTTTCATGCAAAAATGAATATTAATAAGAATTCCAACGTAAGTAGAAAGCAAAGTAACGAGGCTTACACCCTGTGAACTATCAAAG